AGAAATAAATGAACTCTCCGTGGCGAACTCCGTCTTGCGCGCAGGCGAACGCGCGCCTCCCGCGTTTGCGTTCGAGCGCTCGGCTGAGCGGAGTCGGTCCCGTGGGTGGCTCGTGGGGTAGAGGAAAAGGCCCCGGCGCTCTTCCAAATTTCGGGGGCTCCAACAAGCGACAGTTGTTTTGATTTTTTTTGGTTTCGCCAGGTCGGGCACCTGTTTAGAACTCGGAACGCAAACCACGACGATCCGTCAAGCGCCGAGTTAAACAAGCGGCAAGACTCGCATGCGAGTCGCCTCCTTGTATTGACATTGAACTGAGATGCTCTCTCTCTCCCTCCCCCTATCCGTCTAACTCTGTGTGTGTGTTTACGATCTCGCGTGTCTGGGACGAGCGCAGAGCCGTGACAACGCGGAGTGTCCGAGCCGCGCGACGTGCTGGTATTTTGGAGACGTCTTGCACCGGGCATTTCTTGATGACACGTTCCCTTGCTTCGCGCAAGAGATACAGTATGTCGGAGCGTTATCGTCAAAGGGGAATTGGAGGCACCGATAATATCTAGGAAACATTTCGCCGAGGAATGTTTACGCATTCATTAAAAATATTAAAAAAACACACGCAGAGCCCTCGCTTGAAACGTCTCAATGCCACTGGGTTTAATTATCAAATTTTGATTTAAAGCTTTCGTGACTGCAAGGATTCATCTTCTTTGGTTCTTTCGGTAAAGTCACTTAGAATGAGATTAAAATAATAAATTGATAAAATAAAATAACACAATAAAATTCTCACGACGTTTCGGTCACAACACAAGCGGCCTTCATCAGGTGAAGGGATGAGACTGTCTGGAGGACAGCGCTGGAGCGAACAAAGCCACGCTCAGATCGCGACCTTTAAGCTGTGTGAGGAGAAACAAAGCTAAAGTTGAGGGCGCTTTGTTTCTTCTCACACAGCTTAAAGGTCGCAATCTGAGCGTGGCTTTGTTCGCTCCAGCGCTGTCCTCCAGACAGTCTCGTCCCTTCACCTGATGAAGGCCGCTTGTGTTGTGGCCGAAACGTCGTGAGAATTTTATTGCGTTATTTTATTTTAGCAATTTATTATTTTATTCTCATTCTACGTGACTTTACCGAAAGAACCAAAGAAGTTTAATTATCAACTTCCCTGTTTCATTGGTGAGCGAGCTGTATTCTTGCCAATGTCACCCGAACCGACGAGTGACCGGGTCGAACTCCCTGGTGTGGTTATCTGGGCCGTGCCGCGCGTTGTTCGGCACGATGTCCGATGTTCCACTCCACGTGTCGGGAGCTTCCTCAGGCACCGAAGTGAGCAGGTCGCGTTCTCCCTCAGTGATGATTTTGTAGCGTTGTCAGCTCGCTGCCGCTGCTGATGTGTACGAAGTGAACACATTTGACTGCAATTTTAAAACAATAATCGCACAGATGTGCCTCTAAGCAACTTCGTGATCGCGCGAGGCATCGTCTCAGCTCTGGCTTGTGCATTACTCAAAACTAACAGACGGAAATGCGCTCAACCCATCATCATTATTCTCTCCCCCCCCCCCCCCCCCCCCCGGCCGGTCGGTAAAATCAGTACTCTCTGGTGAACTCTAAATGATGTAACTACAATAGTGTTTGTATCACTGGTGGACTGGTCCCTGTGACATGAAAGCGACAATGTCACCACTGCCGCAGCACCACGGATGGATATGAATGTTGTGCAACATTTATTGAGCAATGAGCTGAGAACTATTAAAGGCGAATTCTGCTACTGCGTAGGGTTGTCCCAGTTGTGCCGCATAGCTCTCGGATGTGTTTTTGGGTTGTTACCGCGTGTTATTTTTTCATGCAAAATATTGACGCCCGAACAGGGACTTGAACCCTGGACCCTCAGATTAAAAGTCTGATGCTCTACCGACTGAGCTATCCGGGCTCTTGCGTTGCCTAAGACACCCCGCGGTACAACCCGCAGCGCATCGGGCAGCTGTGAAAGCAAATCACCCGAAATCCTTCAAACTGTTTAGGGACCGCGTAACGTTCGCAAAGACCGAAAATGAAGTGGATTCTCAGGCAGTCTCCAAACTGCCATGGTTTTCAATCAGTGCCAGCATTGACAGGCCATGTGAATGTGTCCATTCTCAGGCAATCGGAATACGGTGCGAACTGCCGTGCTGTCTACATGCTTGGGCAGTCTGAATTCTCAGTTTGAATTCGTGAATTGACCGCCAGTGTGAATGGAGGCCGCCTGAATATTTTGACGTGTTCCCTTGAGTCGTTGCTTTGTTCCCAAACAGCCCGACGGATTTTATGAGATTTGTCTGAAATATTTTAAGTGCGCATTGGGAGAAGTGGCTTTTTTGATGCATTCACAGCGCAAAGCAAAACACATTTTTAACAACCTTAACAATACTATTTGGTTCTTTCGGTAACAATTTGCACTTTTCAAATATAGACATAAACACTTTTTAGTATAAGCGGAAAAGGGATCGGCATGTAATGGGAAGGTTGCGAGTTGAAATCCTGGTTGGCGGCTGACTCAGCCCATCATCCTTCTATGATCAATAAAAGAAATACCACTTTGTGGGGACGTCAACAGTGGTTGTCCTATGGGCAGTTTTCGCCCCTGCCATAGGAATGTGTAGTTTCCACCAGTGGCTCGCGGCTGTAAACAGGACAGGACGGTCTACCGACGCTGAGTCAATCATGGGAGATATTTACCCCGCTTCACTGCGGTGGTCAATTTAAGTTAAGGGAAGAGTGGGGGGCCTCGGATTGGTTCAAATAACATTGGTTGTGTGTTAGTTGTGGCTGGAATCTCGGGGTGCACTAGGGTGATGGTGGATAGGGGTGCGTGGTACAGAGTGGCCGAGTAGCCTCTGTGTACGAGTCACGATAAGAGGCTGCACTTATCTTCAAGGATGCCCACATCAAGTTTCAAGAGGGCCCACATCTGGCAATCAGCGCGATGCCGTCCCTTCGCTATCTGCGCCAGCATCTCTTTGAGATTCGGTCGATGCTGATTTGTGGTCCCACATTCTTCTCCAGCTGTTATTATCGCGTTGACCAAGCAGGAAAGCCTCAATGGTTATCTAGACACGGATTTTATTCAGAGGGATCCAGCTAAGTTGTTGCACTGGGCATCTGTGAAAAAAGAGCTTCATACCTCATCGGATTCCTCCAGGATAAATACATCTTCTGATTCTGAGTTAGGTCACACGGGAGTTGATTTCTTTTTTCAAATTTGGCAAATTTGAACCACGGCGCCCAGCACACAATGGCGTCACGAGACCTTTAACATCCACTGTGAAGCAGACGGCCTGTATGTGTACGCTTCATACATTATTATCAGATTCAGAATATGTATTTATACTGGAGCTATGACGCTGTTTTCTTTTTACAGATGTACAGGTCAGAACGTTAGAACAACAACACAAAAACACGATACGTGTGGAAAGTACAGCAAAGGTAAACACATCGCTAAATAAAATCTACAAATAAAAATATCGCTATGTTTCATGTTCACAGGCTAAAGCCCACTGAGCAAGGGCAGCCAGCCTGCCGCATTCAAACCACGAAGCTACGCGGCAATTGCTCAGGCGTGGAGTGAGAAACTCCCCCGAGCATCGCACACACCGCCTTGCAGATTGAAAGCTCATCCCTTTAGAAGTGCTCCTTTGTGTTCGGTCTGCTGCCCTTCCCCCCGCACCTCCGATTCGCGCGGTTGGCTACGTGCGGTGTGAAAGAAGTTCAACACTATCAGTACATACATACAAGTGAAGAGCACGCTTCTGCACTGGAATGTTGTGCATGTGTGTGTGTGTGTTGAACTTCTTACACAGGAGCTCGCCTCCAGCGCAGGAGGCCATTCTGGTTGTCCCATGCGGTTCGAGAAGACAGAGCTGAAATTTTAAATACAGCAACTTCATACACTTCGGTTCTTTCAGAACCGTAGAGTATGGATGCTTGCAGTCACGAAAACTTCAAATCTAGAAAGAACAACTTCAATTTAGCATTTTTGGCCGTCCAAATTATACATTTTAACCTAATGTTGGGGCAAGGTAACGATTCTGTATCGGTGTGGCAACGATTCCTGATATCACTGGGATGAAGTGTGTTTATAATACACAAATGTTTACAGCGTGCAGAGCTTGTGCACAGTTTAACTCTGCCGCCAGAGCCAATCGTGGACGTGGCACGATGCTGCTGCTCCCTGCCCGTGCAGCATGGACATGGGGATACGGACATTGCCCAAAGGTGTGTTCCTTTAAGGATAAACCGAGTTACGGCTGATCTCCCGAAACAAGACCCCGATCACCGCCGATGTCCTTTAAGACGAGCAATAGCCCGCGTGCGCGTCACATCCTCTTGGGTGGGACAATTCATGCCAGAAGCCGTAAAATCGCAACGTTCATGCCGATATCGGCGCCTTCAGCTGAATTATTGCGTTCCGAAATAAATTGTATTGTTTTGTTTTCTGCTCAGAGGCAAGAGCGGTCGTGTGACGATGCTGCTCTCTTCTGGCGAAACGCAGCATATCAACTGGGGTTGGCTGTGAGAACTTCACGAATAACAGTAACGGTGGACTAAACACATTCGTCAATAGCGCTGCCCCAGCACATGAAGATGGGTCATCATAATTGCTCGTGACTTCGTCTGTTATATGTTTTTCCATGCAAGGTTGTTTTAAATGCGGTAACCGGTAATGTAAAAAAATCTATTTTAATAACCTGTAATAAGGTGCTGTTACGATAAGCGAAACGTTGGGAGAGCCACTCCTTTAAGGGACGTGACCGGTTACAGCTGAGCCACCCAAACCGGAGCAATTCACTCCCTCCCAGTTCCCTTTAAGGAAGCGATTACCACGTGACTGCCCACCCTCCTCCGCCCCTCCCAACTCCCACCACGTGAACAACCAATCAACGTTTCCCGTGATAACTCACACAATTAAAATTAATTAAATAGTACAGAAAAGTCTTGCGTCTCACTATACATCGCGATACAGTTTTTGGTTTAAAAAAAATAACTTAGCAAAAAATGTAACTAAAATCAAACCAACAACAAAATGTCACTGCAACGACGTCACGTCCGGTTGGCCATTTCCGCTCGGCGGTTCTGCACGGACCCAGAGTCTCCATTGCCCTTCGTGCTGCGCGGAGCGAGGTAAGGGTTCGGCCTCGCGGCTCCACTCCTCAGCAGCCGCAACACGGCAGCAGTAGCGGCGCTGTTGTCGTTGTCGCTCTTAGAAAGAGACGCGGATAATGGGGCCATCATTCTGCCGTGTCCGGCCCTTGGGGAGACCTTGCGGCGCCCGGGGAGTTGAGGGCGGAAGAGCCTGGCTGTGTAGGCCCTTTAGGGGTCAATGATTCGGCCAAGGTGTTAAGACCTTGAACCGTTGCGACAAAACATCGCGCGTCGGTACTACGCGGGGTGTCGATTGCTATCAATTGTTTTATCGTGGCGCGTTAGCTCGCGATCACAAATATGTACGATAGCAAGGTCATGGGGGTAGTTCTTGGTGAGAAAATGTCGTTGAAGAAAGACATCGCTGTGTATTGGGATGGAGAATGATACAGCCGTTGTTGGCGATACGTGTTGGTACTCCATAAAACGTCCCCCGGACTGTGTAAAGACACGAGATGGGGTCTAACACGAGGCTTTCTGCTCATGCTGGGCACTCGCCTACGGTGGAGGCTCGGCGTATTTGCCACCGCAAGTGGTACCAACCAAAGCCCCCAGTTGACTCGTGTGCGAGTGGTGATGGATGGCCATGTCACCCAGTTGGTCGGTCGCCCTGCGTCTTCTCTCCCGCAACGAAGTTTAATCTTAAGTTTGTTCTACCTTGATTTGAAGTTTGTGTTGTGGGTTAACGCTGCGCCGGATTGTTGAGGGGGGGGGGGGCAGCACCAGCTGTGCCTCGAGTGTTCGCGCTAAGGGCGAAGGGGACGCTTCCTGCTGGCGTTATGCACCAAGGTTGCCAACGCCTATGCGTTGGCTCTGCGGGCTTGTCACACGAGTGACTGGTGGAGGCGGACATTGAAGATGCTTGAACGCAACGAATGACGACAAATTCGCGATCATCCACTTGATAATCACACGGCCCATTTCGGCGCGAATGTTAAACCCCGAGTTTAGCATCGGCGGTGCGACAGTGCCCAAATTCCACGGCCTCCCTGCGCCGTCACCCATCACGGCCCTGCGATCTATTCCACCATGTAGCTGCTCGCGAGCTGATTTCACAGCTCCCCGGTGTGTGTACGAGAGGGCGTGTTCCCTCGGCTGCTGCTGCCGTCATATTTCTGCCATCATCGATTGCAGCCACGGGCTCGTCATGCCCACGCCCCCCAACTCGTGTTAATAAACCGTGCCAGTGGCGTCTTCTCTACTCCACGTGTGTCGTCTTTCTGTATCTTCATGAATTTCTTCTCGCCGTCCTTCGAGGTCGTATGGGTGGGGGCAGATCTGAAGGTTGCGGTCATACCCAGGCATTACAGCACCCTGGTGACGTAGACGGTATTCAATTGAAAATGCATCTGATTGTACGTCAAACAGAACGTTTGCCCTTGACTTTAAACTACCTTTATTCGATTATTATAAACGAAGCGTCAGGCCCCTTTGTCAGCCCGGCGCACAGGCCAGGTGTGTAGCCACGGGAGATCTGTTGTGTGGTTTAGTCTTCTTTGACCCCCAGACCTTTAAGGCTTCCATAGCCACGGCACTGGTCACGCGGAGGCCGAAGAGCGGCAGTCGCTTGTTCGTTTGCGACCTGAGTTGAAGTGACGTCTGGACTGGGCCAGGCTGCGCCCCACTCGACACAGAATGGGGGAGACTTTGATGATGATAATACAATTTAAATTTCAATGGGTCTGCACAAACTGTACAGGGTAGCCGCCTAGATAGCTCAGCTGTCCCACTTGCATATGATGTAATATACCTGGTGTACACTTGAGGCAGAGTTCATCTATGGCGGCTCCCACTTATCTCGTATGGATGAGTTGACGAGCAACTTTAAATAGACGGCTTAATGTGAACCTTATGGCGGGACCCCGGGGTCCCGAATTGACGACAGTGAAAATCGTAATTAATTACATTTTAGCGACTCCGTCCCACCGCGCACATAATCGCCGCAACTTACCTGGCGCGGATCGTTCTGTTGTCATGTGGTCCAAGCGCAGCGAGGACGAATGCGCAGAAGAAACAAAACTTTGAAACGTTGGTTGGCGCATCGTATAGTGCTCGTCGAGAGGAATAGACTGCCGTATAATTCGCCTTCAACAGACATAAAATTACGTCGCAACGCAGTTTATGCGAGAGCCGGGGGCTTCTGGGACCCTAGGTTCCCGCCATGAGGTTCATTTGTAGAACCGGCTGCTTGCGCCTTGGAAGAACGCTCACGGTGGGCGCGAGTTCACGTTGCGTGCCGCTGTCTGTTGGCAGTGTACCGCAGTCACCGTTCCATTATCTTCCAGTTCGGGTCACGATCTAAGGTAGCTCCCTTGATTGCCAATGGAGGAGGCTCGTACAGTTTTCTTTAATATATAATGTGATTGAAGTTGTCTGTTCAGTGTTGAAAATGTACGCTAACGATGCTGACCACTAAACTCCGGGCCACTTCAAGATTGTGTCGTGATCACTAACCCCCATATCATTTTCACAAAAATGTATGGTATGTATGTTGAACTTCTTTCGCACCGTACAAACTGTGCCTCTGGGTTTGTTTTGTTCTGCGCAGGTCCCGAGATTTACGATGGCAAACACAATCGAAGAGAAACTCAAGAACTACCGCACGGCTCCCTTTGATGCCCGCTTCCCCAACAGCAATCAGACGAGGAACTGCTTCCAGAACTACCTGGGTGAGAGGGTGCTCGTTGAAACGTCGATATCGCGGAGGGGAAATTAGTCGAAGTTTGTTGATCAAGGTAGCCTGTTGCTTGCCAACAGAGGCGCGCAGAGTTGAGTGTAGTTTCGTTAAAAATCGAAGAATGTACGAGTAGGCTGCAAGGAAGCCATCCCATGACCATATTATGTCTCCTCGTAGCATGAGCCAGGTGAAACGTGATTGTGTACGGAGCCCTTCACGCATCTAGAACATGATGGCACGTGTTAATCACTGAATCCTACGCAAATCCCGGTTTACTTTTGAGAAATCTTTCTTATTAGAAGCATTACAAACATAACATTGCCGTTTTGGCTCATGAGCAATGAACTCGGAATTTGTGTACAATGTCTATTATTGTGTTGCTACACACATCCCTTTCACTGTCATTGCTGCTGTATGATGGAAGCCCGTACCCAGAACCGAGGTGCGTCGATCCATCACTGCAGTGGTTCCCAACCTGAGCTTTTGTGGCCTCAGGGCCCACAGTACCATGGGAAGTGGTCCATGGAACTTGCCGATAGAATGTGGTTTTATATTTTACTAGCTTTACTACCCGGCTTCGCCCAAGACTTGCATTCTTGTCTTGGATTAATACACGGGCTACGCGGAGGGTGGGGAGGGGGATGCGTGACGTCAGCAGGCAGACTGCGTGACGCTGCCGCATGCGGGTGACATCACAGATGTGACGTCACCGCTCACTTGCCGTGTAAAATATATCCATTATTGCGCCCCCCCCCCCCCCAAAATACAAAAGTGTATTTTTATACTTTTGGCATTGTGTACAGTCTGGCAGCTACCCACATGGCAAATTGAAAGTTTGTTGCATGTTGGAAAGTATGCTAAACATTTTGATCAGACACACATACATGTTCGTGAGATTGTTTTTCTCTCAACCTCATTTATTTTGTGTAAGGAGGTGAGAACGCAAGAGCCCAGAATATTCTCATTTGTAAGAGTGACCTTGGGGAGCATTTTTCTGGCAGTGGGGGATGATGATTGCTGCTGTGAATAGTCACAATTTGGGAATTTGTGGGCACATTTTCTTAATTTGCCAAATTTGGATCTTGGCACCGGCAGACCATTGCGAACGACGACAGGAGATCTTGTAACGTCTCCACTGTGTAAAGCGGACGCCGCGTATTATCATGGTTACTACACCCGCAGTAATAATCAGGGGGCCGCTGGATTCGAACGGTGAACTTGTGCAGCGAACGCAGCGCTACCACTAGGCCGCGTAACCGCCATTTATGATGGGGGGGGGGGGGGGTGGCAGCGGTCTGTGTGCCCAGAGGCTCGGAAGGAGCGCTTGAGTGGATGATGATGACAGCTGTCAAAAAGAGCTTTATAGCTCGTCGGATTCTTCCAGAATAAATGAAAGATTCCGATTTTGTATTTTTAGCTTGAACACTATGAATTAAAATAGCAGCACGGCACTGAGACGCTGAGGTGGCGGGGACCCTGGGGATGAGGACGTCGCCTTGTTGCTGACCTCACGAACCTCGCCTCCTCTGCCCCCCCCCCCCCCCCCTGCAGACTTCCACAGGTGCGAGAAGGCGCTGACCGCCAAAGGCTCAGACTTGCTGCCATGCGAGTGGTTCAAGCGCGTCTACACCTCGCTGTGCCCCATCTCATGGGTAAGCCGGCCGGCCCACCTCCGGCCTACGCTCCCATCTGTGTTGCGTTCGTAAGAGTCGTCCTTCAGTCGCACGTTGATGGCGCTCGTTTGGAATTTGCGTAAAAAAACCTCTCAAAAGCAGGAACGTTCGGGAGGGAGGGGGGTGATGTCTGCTATAATAAACAAAAAAAATGCTAAATAATAGTTCACGATATCAAAATGACGTTAATTATCACCAATGTTGTATGTATGTTGAATTCCTTTTGCACCGTACGTAACTAACCATGTGTTTAAAGTCAAAGGCAAACGTTGTAGCACTCGCTTTTACACATGTATACTTGTAGGAATTTTCAGTGTATATCAAGTATTTTCTAAATGTTCAAAACAGGCAGAGCATACTACAATTACAATGCTGTACTGTGGGGATTATTATTATGAGAAATGTGTTTTGTTTATTATCGATTCCAAATGGAATACGTCACTGCTTTTTTTGCGAAATGCTGTTAGTAGCAGCAGTACTGGTATTAACTGTGCCACACAATTGTGCCAAGCTTGGTCGCCGTGTCTCTCCACATCGATGACAAACCCCCCCCGCACCTCCGACGATTGTCGTGGTTGGCTATGTACTGTGCGAAAGAAGTTCAACACTCAATGCAGCGTTACCGCCGCGTGTACCCCGTCTGTGTGACGTGCAGGTGAATAAGTGGGACGAGCAACGGGCGGATGGAAAATTCCCGGGCCGCATCTGAGTCGCACGATGTTGCGTTGACCACTGTACAAATAATGCGACTGTCGGACAACGAAGTCCCAAGTTGTTAAGGGACACAAAGTGGGGGGGCCTCACCCTCCCCCCCCACAGTGGAAGTTACTGTCTGCTCGTACAGTTGTGTGTAAGATGTCTTCAAGGACCCAATAAAGATGAAATGATCAAGTCTGTTGCATTTGTCCAGATGGTTAAGTGTAGGTGAACCTAAATAGCGTGGCAAATGAGCCGAATGTTTGCATGCCAGCTGAATGCATGAAGAAAAATGACGCTGCATTGTGAAAGACCCATCGATTAAACAAACCGGCAGTCAATTCTTCATGGCATGAGAAGCAAGTCTTGATATTTTTTATTGCCAATTTCTAAAGCTGAGTATTTTGCATCAACATTGAAAACACGACACCAACATTACATTTTAACACTTAAAATTAAAACAAACTCAAACGTTAACGCATAACCCATCAAACGACATCCGCACTTAACGCTCGGTAACATAGAACACAATGCTATCAGGGGTGCTCGGCACGCAGCTGTCTGTTCGGTCACGGCAATCATTCACTCGTGGCGTTTCTCCCGAATCAGGCCAGCGGTGTTGGTGCATCACGAGTTGTCATTTGCGTTTGAACAAGCAAATTACTTGAAGAGATGAAACATTATTTGGTGATGCTGCTGTGTTTGGCAGTGGTACCGCATGCCCAATTAGCAAAAAAATCAGCGCGTTCATCAATAACACTGTGGCCTTAAAAGGAAAATATATATATAAAACCGCCAACTTTTCAAGCAATGGCTCTTAATCGGACACGTTCCTGCCATTGCAAAAAATGTCACCTACTTGTATATTATTTCCTTCTATAAGGCGACCGTGTTATTGACGAATGTGTTGAGTTAAAGATATATACATTTTACACGTATGATCTTTCCTATTTGCTGATAAATCAGCAAGCAAAGGCAGTACAGCTGGGCACCACTGGGTATTCTATTAAAACTCATTTCAGTTTGTATTTTACCAAGTAAAGCCCACTGACCTATTAGCTCGCTTTCAGAAGCAACCTGGCCACGTGATCGCTCAACGACATGGCTTATGTGGAAATGTATAGCAGCCAAATACTCTTAAACGAATGTTTATTCTAAATGTGGAGGGAAAAACCGGAAGACCCGGAGAAGAATCCGCGCGTTCACGGGGAAAGTACAGCAGGTGTCTGGGTCGGGACAGAAGTCGCGACCACCTGCATCCCAGGCAAGGAAGATAACAATCTCGCCATCACAGCGGGTTCACTGGAACACGACACTCGTCGCTTTATTGTCGTTCAACGGCAGCCAATCAACCGTGCAGTGGTCTGACAACAGCCTTGATCGGCAGATGTTGCGCTTATGAATTATCGCGGCACGTTTGGCAATCCAGTGTGAACCCACGCACATACTTGAGCGAAACGTTAATCTTTTGCAGCTTGGTAACATGCAATTTACACACACAGACGTTCAAACCTTTTTCATCTCTGAGCTAAATTGCAATTAAGTAGCAGAAAATCAATTTAACAGTCTGCTATCGGAGTGATGATTTCATGATGTGTCCGTTTCCTACCAAAAAACATAGTGTGTGGGCATGACCCTAAAATCACCGTCAAAACTCGACTGCTGGAAACCAGTCCTCGTATTCTAGAATTGCTTCGCCACTCAGAGCGGAGCTTCACAGGACTCGTTCAAAATCTCTCTGTTTTTGTGCGCGAGAGGGTACACGGACCTGTACGCCAAGATGGCCGCCGCATTGACGGGTGCAGCAATGCTGAAATCGTTGTGCCGCTCGCGGCTGGCATTGGGCCTCGGCGCGTGGTCTGCCGGGACCCAGGGCAGTTGCTGCTGCAGCTGCTGCAGCTGCTGCTGATGCTGGTTGGAGGAGGGGGCAGCGGGCGGAGGGGCGAAGCGGTGGGCGGGCAAAGGGGGTGGCGGCGGTGGCGCTGCGGGGTGCCGGAGGGAGGTGGCGGTGAGCGCGCCCGGGCGGCGCGAGTCGGCACTGAAGCCCTGGCGTAGGAGGCGCTGCCGGCAGCCGAACTCCAGCACCGTCTTGGTGTAGTTGTTGAGCGTCGTCACCGAGGCCGCCATGCACGCCGTGAAGGAGCCCCAGGCAAAGCTGGCAGCGGTGGGGTGGGTGAGAAGGGTGGAAAGAGACAAAACGTCGTCGCGCGTGCAACGATCCCGCAAGCACCCACCCACCGCGGTGCGATTTGAGGGACTGTCACGGTTCATTCGGGATGACGAATCAAAGAGTTGAATGGGTGTTTTTTTTTGTTTGTCCAGTCCGTAAGACCCTCGCGTGCAACGTCACGTTTGTGTCATTTATAGACTTCTGGATGGGCAACGCTGTTGCAAAGCGACTATTTAGACGTGCACGGTGCGCGAGCGGTCATGGCCCCAGCCACGTCTCGCCAACTTTGCTGCTCATGTTTACACATCGCATCTGGGGGGGTGGGGGGGCCGGCAGGTTGGTGGCGCGGCGAGCAGACACCAACTGCGCTACCGGCTCCCCCCATGAACAGGCACAGAGGGAGACGCACAGGGGACGCGCAGAGGGGACGCGCGGAGAGGGAGCGTGAGAGATACCAGAAGGACCAGCCATAGTCCCAGCTGTGTGGCCTCCAGTCCTCCGGGCCCAGATTCACGGTCACCTGGAACACGGTGGTGAACATCATGTGTGCCACCATTCCCAGCAGGCCTGGCGGGCGCATTCAGCAGGAGCGGAGGGCGCAGAGAGAGGGTAGGGGGGGTGGAATGCACGGGACATGGGGTCATGGGGGCACCGTTGTTTACCCTGGACCTTAACGCTCAAGCTCCGTCAAAATCCACTACGAGTGGCAGTCCCCGATGGTGGTGGATTCGAGCCATCGAACGAAGACGGTCGCTGCATCGCGCGGCGCTTTCGGATGCGCTTCCGCGGCCGTCTGGAACGCTCTTCCTTCCGAACATTAGGACGCCACTGGAGCTTTGCACTTCTAAATCTAGATGGAAACCCAATTTCTTTAGAACTGCTTTGTTGTGTTTCGTTGTCTTTCCCCCGCACCTCCGATGAGCACGGTTGGCTACGTACGGTGTGAAAGAAGTTCAACATACAGTAGCGGCGCTGGCCCCGGATCTGTCTCGGTCGGCGGACCGAAATATATTTTCTTACACCCGGCACACCGCATCCAGTATACCTCGTGCTATGGCTGTAGCTAACAGTTGCACGCTTTTACTCCAGTCTCACATGGCAACCAAGAACATAGCTAATGAGAAATCAACTGCTGCCTGCGCCGTGACGTTTCGTGTTTTGGCTCAAGTCTGCTTGGTGTTTCCATCTTAGTGGGCAGTGGCGGCTCTTATGCCCAATCGTTGATGCACCGAACATCATCTCAAGTTCCGCCTCCAATGCTTGGCGTTGTTTTTGAACGATGGCGCTCCACGTTCGTTCGGTTTGCCCGCCCCTGCCCCTTCTGCTGAACACAAACCCCACAGCAACAACAAAAAACACGAACCAATTCAAATACCACAAATCGAGCATTTAGATCTCTCACTGGTTCAGCAGTTCCACTGCTAGATTATTTTTTTATGCCTGAGGACGACCGCTTGTGTTGCGATCGAAACGTCGTGATATATGATTTGTGACTTTACCGAAAGAACCAAAGAGTATGGATTCCTGCAGTCACGAAAGCTTCAAATCAAGATAATTTAAATCCCGTGCGGTAATTTCCTCTCACTGCACTCCATCCCTCCCCCCGCCCCTCTCTCTTAGCCAGCTTACTCAGTGAATTCCTTTTTAGTGATGGAGATGAGACATTTGTTTTTCCTCTTCCCACAAAACCAATAAGCCGAGTCTTCGGCATCACGGGCACCGATTTCAAGGCCGTGCACGCAAGATCCGCACTGCCGTTCCGACCGGCCGTCAACACTTGCGGCGCACAGCAGACCTCCTATCGCTCAAGCCCAATGATGTTGCGTAGATTTCGTTGGTGTGTCGTCGTCGTCGGCCACGATCTCCCCCCCCCCCCCCACAAGCCACCACCACCTCGGTTCTCGTTCATCGTGCGCAGTCGGCGAAGGAGCGTTGCGCTCGACGCCCCCTCGCGACAGCGTTCGCATGAACCGCTCGTGGCTGCCGTACACCGGCGTGTCTCCAGCGATTCGTCTGATTCACGGGAAACACGGTGGGCGGGGAGGGGGGAGGCGATCATTCCTTCGAGGTCGTCGCTGCCCCGCTAGGAACGTCGACTGCCAACTGTGAAGGTCTCGGTTCTGCAAGTGCCACACAAAGCCACTCGGGCACCAGATTTTTTTTGATATAATTACCGCGTGCAATTGTCAACAACGGCCACATCGGACGTTAGTTCATCTGATCGGCATAAATAATCGCATGACGGCAGCTTGAAGTCTCGCTCCGAAAAGGCGTGCGGCGATGTTAGGAGATGCTGCCGGCAGCTGTTCGCGTCGCTCCATCTCCTCGGTGGACGTCCTCTCAGGCCCGTTCCATGTCTTCCTGGGACGCAAACTCCCATCACTGCCCTTGCCCACCGACCCGTCACTCCCACGCCCCCCCCCCCCCCCGCTCCCCCTTGCTGTTCCTTACTCCACGTGGTCCACTCTCTGTTTTAACATCATTCCAAGCATGCATATCCCCACGCTTTTTGCACTTTTCAGCACCTACTTACTGTACGCGCGTTGAACTTCTTTGGCGCCGTACGTAGCTAATCGGAGGCGCGGGGGGGAATGACGACGACAAGCCGAACACACAAAAAGCCAGCAATGAATACGTTCGCTTCGCGATACAGATGATCTAAACGGGCATCGCTCCAGCGGCGTCAGTGTGTTCCGTTTCGTGTTGCCAGTGCTCCGCCCGGCTCACGCCGTAACGCGCTGCCTCCTTGTCGAACGGCTCGCGATTCCGCTCCGCCTTCCGAGCCCGACAATCGCGAGCCGCGATCACGCAGCTTTTACATCACCCCGCGGTTTATTTCTCCTTCGGGCGTCGCGATGGACCCTACGTCCAGGCAACAAAACAGAAAAAAAAATCCACCTGCGATAACGACTGCTTTCGTTCGTATGGGTTGTGCACTGGCACTTGCGGACCGAGAGAGACAATTATTCACACGTGGCGGCCACCTGCCCCCATTCCTTCCTCTGTGCCGCACGGGAGCCGTAGATTGGGGCGCGAGTCTTGATGGAATTTTATCCACGAAGCTGTGGATCATAGGAAACTACTTCCGAGCGATTAAACTCGAAACAGATGACCGAATGTATTGAGCGAAACATTGCAGCGACTAATCTGCGTAAATCCAGCGAGGCCCTCTCTGGCACAAAAAACAACAACAAGGAGGTTTAGTCCAATCCCAGCTGTCTCGAAAAGTTGATTTTTGTTTTACACTTTGGAAAAACGTTTCATCTCCATGACGGTGCGTCCACTCGGACGCGTTCTCTCCGCCAGGGTTGAGTGCCCGTTGAGGTGAAATCGATCGTGAGGTGAAGCTGTGAGGTGAAAAAAAGCTACGTTCCTTTACATCGCAGCTTTCATTGCGGCCCTTTGAGGGTGGGCTACGTCAGGCAACCATTGATTCAACTAAAATACAACAACTAAACCTCAATTCTCTGCCACTTTATGAGACTTCGGAGTAGATTCTCAGACCGATTGCGCTATTGGAACACTTTGTGGGTGTGGACAGCCGTTATAAGAATTGAGATTGATTGCAATAACTAAACGTTTCACGTCGCAGCACACCCACGGTTAGTAATGCGGAGTAGAGACGAGGACGTGTGGAGAGAGGCCCCCAGGACACAGAAAGGGCACGGCTCAACAGGAGCAGCGGAAAGACAGGCAAGAAGGGGGTGGGGGGAGTGAAAGGAATGACGGGGCCGTGATGTCGGAGATGAGAGGGTGACGATGAGACGGGCAAGAGAAGAGAGCGAGACAGAGCGAGCTGCACGGAGCGGCGTCTGTTTTCACAGTGGGTGGCGGGGAGAGAGAGGAGGGATCCAGAGTGGTGGGGGGGGGGGGGCGGGCCACACACGAGTCACGTGATTTGTGTCGGTCGAGATCAGGGGTCGGCAACACGCGGCCCTTTAAGGACTGCCTCTTGGCTCCCGATTCTCTAATTACAAAGTTTTAAAAAATATCTATATTAAAAAAAACCCCTCCAAATTATTTTCGGTGAACGTCTAAAACACCCAACGGTGATTTGTAGTGGGGCGTTACAAATCATTGCGCGTTGTGCTTTTTCTTAAAATAATGATCGACGTTATTCAAGAAGTGCCCTCTCGTAGTCGCGTGCGTTATTGCGGCTCTCGAATTAATTCGTGTCTTTTTAATTTTATTTTGCCTTTACCGAATCCGAAGCCAATAGCTCTCCTTGTTTGATATTTTGGGATTGCCGACCCCTGGGTCTTGATCTAGGGGCCGACAGCGGTGGCGTCGTCGTCAAAGGCCGCACCGGATAGGACGGTGAAGACGGCCGCGAAGGCGTTGAGCTTGAGGCCCGTGACCACGTTGGCCGCGTTGGCCGCGTTGCACCGCTCCAGGCACATGAGGAGGAAGCCGACAGACAGCAGAGACACGAACAGCGTCTCCGACACCATGGACAGCATCAGCACGCCTACACTCGGAGCCGTGGACAACACACACGCGGAGAGACCCGGCACACGAGGGGGTGGGTGGCCAACACCACGCCCGGCCGCCTTTGTCTCCCAAGTGGCGATGTTTACACATCGCACCAGGTACTCATTTGAGGCTGAGTCAACCTAGGGGAGGCCCAGGACTGGTTCAGATAATCGTCACTGATGTTGGAATCGAACCCGGGTCACCAGGTTCGTAGCGCAGAGCGCTAACCGCTACACTACACACAGACACACATACATAGACACACAGATATGGACACACACACAGACATAGACACACACAGAGCCATAGACACACACAGACATGGGCACACAGAGATGGACACACAGAGACATGGACACACATAAATAGACACACAGACATGGACACACAGACATAGACACACACAGACATAGACACACAGACATAGACACACACAGACATGGACACACATACATGGAACACACACGCATACAGAGACATGGACACACACATAAATAGACACACAGACATGGACACACACACAGACATAGACACACACAGACATGGACACACACAGACAGACATAGACACACAGACATAGACACACACAGACATAGACACACACAGACATAGACACACACAGACATGGACACACACATACATGGACACACACGCATACAGAGACACGGACACACGTAAATAGACACACAGACATGGACACACACACAGACATAGACACACACAGACATGGACACACACAGACAGACATAGACACACACAGACATGGACACAACAACAACAACAACCGCCATTCGCCACTAAGTGGCGGTGACGTCACCACGACGCTTGTGCCAGGCTATGTGCACCCTGAGGCCACGTGAAGTGTCGAACGCCCGCTGGGAGGAGGTCACGGGGCAGACCCAAGTGCCACGGGTCGACTGACTGAGATGACTGGCTGATGCACCACCTGTCTCCCCATACTGTGCCAACCTGTGCTTTAGCCACCCGGCGCTCCGCTCGTTGTTGTGAGTGTCGCTCCTCCGCCCTCCGTTGTTGTTGGAGGGCGACTGCCTCCAACTGCCCAGTAGCATCCTTCACGAGCCTCCTCCACAGAGGCCGATCTTGACACCGCTGGTACCAGTCATCGGCAAGTCCACTCAGCTCCACGTCCTCCTGTACCACATCACTCCATCTCCTCTCTAGCCCGTGCCGCGCCCGTTTAGCCCCCTCAATCCGGCCGAACAAAAGCTGTTTCGGCATGCGGTGGCTGGGCATGCGGGCTACATGACCCAGCCATCGCAGCCTTCCCCGCCGGAGGAGCTCACCGATGGGACCTTGCCCAGATCTTTCAAGGATTTTTGAGCTCCTCACACAATCCAGTCTGGTTAAACCCAGGATGGATCGTAGGCAGGCCAGCCTAAATGTTTCTAACCGGCGAAGATGTTCCATTAGGGGGGTCCACGTTTCGCAAGCGTAGAGAAGGGAGGGAATGACCGTGGCCGAGAAGACCTGAAGCTTAGTGCGGAGCGACAGACCAGGTAGCTTCCACACAGCGTTACGCAACCGATGAAAAGATATTGCCGCTCTACTGATTCGGAGTGAGACCTCTGCTGTTAAACTGGAGCCAGTCAAAAGCACACTGCCCAGGTATGGGAAACTCTCCACTCTCTCCACAACTGCCCCATCACCGATTGGGAGTTGTGGGGGTGGAGTGTCCGATGGTACAAAATACCCAGGCAGGTGCTTAGTTTTGGTGGGGCTGATGGTAAGGCCCCATCTCTTAGTGGCACGCTCCAGTCTCAGCAGCAGCGTCTCCAACTCCTCCTTCGAATGTGCAGCTATTACCAAATCATCAGCATACAAAACGTGGTTGAGCAATAGGGAGCCATCCCTTGACCGCACCCGGGCGTCGATCAGCCTCCCATTATATCTGTACCATATGGAGATTCCCCCGGTACAGCTATTGAAGGCTTCACGAACTACGTGGTCAAAATAGATGTTAAATAATGTGGGAGCCAGAGGACATCCCTGTCGCACCCCAAGGTTAACAGGGAATGGCTCTGACTCCCGGCCACGTAGTTTTACCCAGGCCCGCTCACCATCATGAAGGTCCTTAATGATAGTGAGCAGAGGGTCAGGTACTCCAAAAGCATGAAGAACAACCCAGAGCCCAGGCCTACTGATGGTATCATAGGCCTTGACCAGGTCAATAAAGCAGAGATGTAGGTCTTGCTGGAATTCCCTACACCTCTGCTGTAGCAGACGGACAGAAAATATATGGCATCTGTGCAGGACCGGCCTTTCCTGAAACCGCATTGGGGCTCCGCAAGCCTCTCCTCAGCGTGCCTGGCAAGGCGATGTTGAATAATCCTTGCCAGGATCTTTCCCGGCACACTGAGGAGTGAGATGCCCCTGTAGTTGTTACAGTCTGTGCGGTCCCCCTTCTTAAAAAGGGGGACCACCAGGGCATCCTTCCAATCCTGCGGAACCCGTCCAGTGGTCCAGACTGTTGTTATGATGTCATATAGGGCAGTCTGTGCACAAACGCCGTCCTCCCTCACCATTTCGCTTGGGAGATCATCTCTGCCCGCTGCCTTTCCTGGTCTCAGACTCCGGATCGCCTTCAGTACTTCCTCAACAGATGGCACCTCAGCCAGCCACTCACAGGGGGTGACTTCTTCCAATATTTGAGGCACCGCAGCCTCAGCAGGGTCATCCTCACTTTGTGCCACGATGTTTTCCTGGCTGAAGGATTTTCCCTCCCCCAGGACCTCACAGAAATGCTCAGCAAATCTGCAAACCTGTTCCTGGGGGTCGGAGATTGGGTCACCGTTTTTTCCCCTAATGATGGTAATAGGTGTGGCGCTGCAGATTACTTTTTTGATGGAGTTAAATAGAGATTTGTGATCACGGGCCACTGAGGCAGACTCCATCTCCTCAGCAACCCGCGACCACCACCCATCCTTGCAGCGCCTCACGGCTCTCCGAACCTCCGAGCGAAGGCTGCGGTAAGCCTCCTCATTCTCTGACGTGGGATTCTGTAGCCGATGACAGTGGGCTTGTCGCTTCTTCTCAACCATGCTGAACACCTCCTCTGTCAGCCAGGGTCTCTGGGGAGGTCTGGACCACGTACCCAAAGCAGCCATTGCAGCTGCATGAGTCACAGTCCTAAACCTCGCCCATTTACCCTCGACATCAGGAGTCGGGGACGATGCCAATCCCAGCCGCAAGCGATGATTAAATTCTCGCTTGCAACTTTCATCAGATAACTGAGACCAGGCCACTTTAGGTTGGAATGGGGTCCTGGGTGTACACCCACCACCGGAGTGGAAGAATGGCAGGCGCATCTTACAGATGACTAGTCGATGGTCAGAGGGCAGATCAGCTCCACGGTAGGTCCTGGTGTCAAGGACATGGGCTTGCATCCGCTGGTCCGTCACTATGTAGTTCAGCAGATGTTCTTTCTTGGACCCGGCATGCACCCATGATGTTGTGTGGATGCGCCGATGCCGGAACAGCGTGTTGGTAATTACAAGCCCATGGGCTGCACAAAAATCTAGCAGCCTCCTACCGTTGTTATTGAGCTGATCTGGCCCATGCCCTCCAATCACTCCAGACCAGGTGCCAATATCATGACCAACTCGGGCATTGAAGTCACCCAACATGATGACTCTATCCCGAGGGGCCACTTTAGCCAGCACCTGTGACAGGAGGTCATAGAAGGCATTTGACTCATCGGCTTTGCCTGCATCCCTCCACGGATGTTCATCTTCGGTGGGGGCATAAGTAACCACGACCACCATTCCTCGCCTCCGGTTGATGGGAAGGCGAGCCCAAAGTAGCCTGGGACTTACGGCTTCCCACACCTCACCGCCACGCTCCCACGCCCCCTTCATTCTTTTGTTCAAAAGAAGAGCCACACCCTGTTGTTTGGCAGTCTGCTGCCCCGAGTAGAGGACTGTCCACCCCTCATGGTGGCAGGAGCCAGAGCCGGTCCACCGGACCTCCTGAATGCCACACAGATCCAGGCGGTACCGGTCCAGCTCCCGACAGAGGAGTGGCAGCCTCTCCTCCGCAGTGAGCGTTCGAACATTCCACGTGGCCACCCGTAGTGGCTTTTCGTTGTTTCTGGAGGAGCCCCGAGGGTAGATATTCAATCTCCTGGCTCCGCCAATTGGGGTTTGGCCAGGAGACGTCATAGACGCCTGGACACACACACATAGACATAGACACACACAGGCATGGGCACACACACAGAGACATAGACACACAGACAGACATGGACACACACAGACAGACATAGGCACACACAGATAGACATAGGCACACACAGACATGGACACACACAGACATAGACACACACAGACATGGACACACACACAGAGACATAGACACACACAGACATGGACACACACACAGACATAGACACACACAGACATAGACACACACAGAGCCATGGACACACAGAGACATAGACACAGACAGACATGGACACACAGACATAGACACACAGAGCCATGGACACACACAGAGCCATGGACACACACAGACATAGACACACACAGAGCCATGGACACACACACACATAAATATACACACACATTAATATACACACAAAACAAAAAAAACAAAGATCCCCCATATAGCCTTAACAGACTGTAGGGGCAAGTGCTGTTAGCGAACACCTATGAAGGCCGGAACGGTACACGAGGGGGTGGGTGGCCAGCACCACGCCCGACCGCCTTTGTCTCCCTAGTGGCAATGTTTACACACCGCACCAGGTACTCATTTGAGGCTGAGTCGACCTAGGGGAGGCCCGGGACCGGTTCAGATAATCGTCACTGGTGTTGGCCGTGAGCGGGAATCGAACCCGGGTCGCCAGGTTCATAGCGCAGCACGCTAACCGCTACACTATACACACACAGACATGGACACACACACACAGACATGGACACACACACGGACACACACACGGACACACACACAGACATGGACACAAACACACAGAGACATAGACACACACGGACATGGACACACAGAGCCATAGACACACACAGAGACATAGATACACACGTACTGTAGATCCATAGATACACACGTAGAGCCATAGATACACACGTGTACATTGCATAAACACCCCTACACTCAGAGTCATGGACAACACATACAGCCATGGACATACACAGAGACATGGACGCACACGTGTACATAGCAACAGCATGCCTACACTCAGAGCCATGCACACAGACAAACAGCCATGATTAATAGGTAACACTTGCACAGAGAAGCATGGACAACACACCAGAAAAAAAATGCCTTACTGTGCATTCAAAGTAAGTGAATGTACGCGAGAAAAAAAGATCCATTTATTTTATTTTTAAAAAAATCGAATTTGTGAGCATTCAGAGAACACGACCGTCACACCGCCACGTGCAAACATTCAACTGGCTCGTGGGCCGTCACTATGGTCAGAGCAGATATGTGGCGAAAACTTGATTCGAAGCTTTCGTGACTGCAGGAATTACTCTTTTGTTCTTTCGGTGAAGTCACGTAGAAAGAAAATTGATCGAATAAGTCACGTAGAAAAACATTAAATAGTTATTTCATTTACTTTCATTCTACGTAACTTTACCGAAAGAACCAAATACCATATATGTGGCGGCCGCACATGCGGCATTGTACTTTATTATTATTATAATAAGAATCCACGCGTTCACGCATATCCACAGAGAGCACAGCGTTCACTCACCCTTCTCCGAGGCGGGGGCCAGGTCGATGAAGGTTCGGCACTTCTCCCCTGAAAGACGCAGATCGTCATCGACTCGTTCGCGCGTGATTTGCGACACAAATAGGCAGACATTACGCCTCCTTCCCAGAACCGTCTCTCCACACACACACACGCACAACTAAGCTTTAGCTACTTTTTTTTTGCACACACCACAGAGGCCACGCACGGTCATTACGAGAGTAATATTGCAGCACCATTGACGCAACACAACGCAGCAAACTCCGTTCTCTTCTCGCGCATGATGGCAGCAAAATGTTCAGGCGCTAAATGATGCCAGTGTCCAGGTCTGCCGGCCACGACGAGAGGGCTTCAGCAGAGACGGAGTTCGTGTCGTGTCGCTGCTCCGCCGCTTCCGCTGAAGGAGCGGAGGCTGCAGTGGTTCACACACGCGGTGCACAGTGTTGGGTTAGCCACAATCGCACTGTTGTGGCTTTAACGTATCTATATGGGTCTCTATGTATCTCTATGGGTCTCTATGTATCGCTATGTTTCTGTATGGGTTTACTGTGTGGTCCATAGTTTGGGTTGCATTGCCACAATCGCACCACTGTGGCTTTAACGTTTCTCTATGGGTCTCTGTGTCTACATGGGTCTCTATGCATCTCTAAGAGTCTACGTGCTTCTACGTATCGCTATGGGTTTACAATGCGGCTGCTAGTTTGGGATGCATGTCTTTAATTTTCCAAATTCAAGCAAACTCTGCACCGTCACCGCTTCCGGCATGCAGTGCCTCGTCAGCAGTTAGGCTTGCTGCAGCCAGTAGCGGTGCTTCTTTCGCGGTCCTGCGACGCAACCATCGCTCCATCTCCTCGATTCACGTCTCCCTGCCCCTTAGGACGCATTCCGTTCATTGGGATTGTTCAAGGACAGATCAACTTGGGTGGTGGTTCAATGGCTCGTCATCGAACAAAGACGGTCACCGCATCGCGCGGCGCTGTCAGATGTGCTTCGGCGGCCGTCTGGAACGCGCTTCCTTCCGATGTTAAATATAGATTGAAAACTACATTTCTTTATAACTTGTTTTTTTCGTGTGCGTGTTAGTTTGTTGTCCTTCCCCCGCACCTACGATTAGCACGGTTGGCTACGTACGGTGCGAAATAAGTTCAACGTACGCAAACATACATGGTCCATTCACGTCCATGCTGGGGCCTGAATTCTACAGACAAATACTTGCAGTGCGCGGCCTGCCTGTGTCTGCCTGTGCCTGCCTGTGTCTGCCTGTGCCTGCCTGTGTCTGCCTGTGCCTGCCTGTGCCTTCCTGCGTCTGCCTGTGTCTGCCTGTGTCTGCCTGTGCCTGTCTGTGTCTGCCTGCGCCTGCCTGTGTCTGCTTGTGCCTGTCTGTGTCTGCCTGTGCCTGCCTGTGTCTGCTTGTGCCTGCCTGTGTCTGCCTGCGCCTGCCTGTGCCTGCCTGTGCCTGCCTGTGTCTGCCTGTGCCTGTCTGTTCTTCCTGTGCCTGCCTGTGTCTGCCTGTGCCTGCCTGTGTCTGCTTGTGCCTGCCTGTGCCTGCCTGTGTCTGCCTGTGTCTGCCTGCGCCTGCCTGTGTCTGCCTGTGTCTGCCTGTGCCTGCCTGCGCCTGCCTGTGTCTGCCTGTGCCTGCCTGTGTCTGCCTCTGCCTTCGTCTTCACGGGGTTGAAATTACGAATCGCCAAATCACAATCAGCAGGCGAGGTCATCGTTTGTAGCCTTTATCGGGCGCAGACCGCGAAATGCCACGGCTGTAATGAGATTGAACCCTCGTCAGCCTCTGGGCCACACCACGGGTGACTGCTGAATAATGTAACGGTACACCGTGCGCGGCATCGCGTGCATCATTTGTATTTTTCCTTCGTGGCGTGCGTAATGTTGTTTGTTGTTGTTGTTGTGTAGTATTACGCACGACCTTCATCTGTTTGTTTTGCGAGAGTGCGGGGGTCGCTGCGAATTCTGAGTCTCGAACAACTCACCCAAATGTGTGAAAGGCACACGGCCTTAATCAGCATTTCGCGAAGAAGTGCATTGTGGTCCTGTTGTCATCTCGGGTCACCATCAGTTGTCTATTCGGTCACAGTCCCTATGATCACTGTTACGTTGCAATTATAGCTTTATTTTTTGGTGATTTCGAAAACGTTTTTTGGTTTGGACATGTTTGTTTTGTTGTAGTACGGAGTTAGACTGATGGCCTTAATCTAAGTTTTCTTGTGGTTGTTGTTGTTTGACTTGCATCCCACTGGGATTTTTTTGCACACAGCGTTGGTGTACGGTGCTTTTTTCAGGAATATTTTGCTGTTTTTTTCATGGATTTTCTGTTTGCACAGTCACATAGTCACTTTAAGATGTTTTTCTTGTTCGTGTTTTTGGTTTTTTTGTTTGTTGTGGTTGCACCCGATTCAAGAGGCGAATGGCTCACAGGGCTATAGCAAAATAAATAAACTGATAAACTGAAACTGAAACTATCGTAGCAACGCTGCTGCCTAACAGTCGGTCACAATTGCTCAAATTAATTTTGGTGAAACGTTTTGCCCGTGGCACACCACGGCAATGGGAGTAAAATCAAGGCTACACAGGCATGCGTGGGATTCGAGACGAGGGAAGACATGCCCGCACTGGAGTCACCAAGGCAGACATAAGGAGCAGGGCCGCTCAAGATAAGCGGCAGAAAGAAAGAGGAAGCGAGAGAAGGAATGGCTGGGCCAAGATGCTGGGGATGAGGGTGATGATGCGGGAAGGAAAGAGGAGAGAGAAGGAAGGAGCAGGCATAAGTGAACTGCACGGAAGAGCAGCGTCTCATAGGGGACGCCCACCCAGCACCCCTCACCTGCTCCCACCCAGCACCCCTCACCGGCTCCCACCCAACACTCCTCACCTGCTCCCACCCAGCACCCCTCACCTGCTCCCACCCAGCACCCCTCACCTGCTCCCACCCAGCACCCCTCACCTGCTCCCACCCAGCACCCCTCACCTGCTCCCACCCAGCACCCCTCACCTGCTCCCACCCAACACTCCTCACCTGCTCCCACCCAGCACCCCTCACCTGCTCCCACCCAGCACCCCTCACCTGCTCCCACCCAGCACCCCTCACCTGCTCCCACCCAGCTCCCCTCACCTGCTCCCACCCAGCACTCCTCACCTGCTCCCACCCAGCACCCCTCACCTGCTCCCACCCAGCTCCCCTCACCTGCTCCCACCCAACACCCCTCACCTGCTCCCACCCAGCACCCCTCACCTGCTCCCACCCAGCACCCCTCACCTGCTCCCACCCAACACTCCTCACCTGCTCCCACCCAACACCCCTCACCTGCTCCCACCCAACACCCCTCACCTGCTCCCACCCAGCACTCCTCACCTGCTCCCACCCAGCACCCCTCACCTTCAACCACCCAGCACCCCTCACCTGCTCCCACCCAACACCCCTCACCTGCTCCCACCCAGCACCCCTCACCTGCTCCCACCCAGCACCCCTCACCTGCAACCACCCAACACCTCTCACCTGCTCCCACCCAGCACCCCTCACCTTCAACCACCACGTTCTCCTCGCACGACACCCACAGCCCCGCGTGGAAGTAGCGGAGCACGAACTTCTCGTCTCCCGCCTCCCAGGCGAGGGGCGAGTCGTCCACCGAGCCGTTCACGCGACACCCCCGCCGCCTCGCGACGTCCCCCGCCGCCGCAGCAGGCGCAGCCGCAACAGCAGCAGACACAGGAGCCGCAGCAGCAGCAGCAGCAGCCACAGGAGCCGCAGCAGGAGCCGCAGCAGCAGCAGCAGGTCGCCTGGCCGAGTTTGACGGCGCGGCGGCGCTCCGCGGGTCGCAGGGCGGCTTGGGCACTCGCTGAGTGCCCTGGCACCAGTAGCTGCTGAAGAAGGCCGCGGTGCCCATCAGCAGGGCCAACGTGTTGAGGACGAGGGCCAGCGACGAGCGGCACCTCCTCGTGGCGCGCATGGTCGCGATCGGCTCACCACCACCACCACCCCCGCCACACGCAAAACAAAAGAATGTGTGTGCCCTGAACTTCTTTCGCACCGTGCGTGGCCAACCGTGCTCATCGGAGGTGAATACAAAATAAAATATATTCCTAAACCGGACAGTCCTCGGAAACAGGCAAGCCTCAAGCAAGGTAAAACGGCGGCGGTCGAGCACTAACAAGCCACTTGGAGCGCGCGCGCGACATCGCCACGGCGAGGAAAGTCTCGGCACGGACACGCGGCACGCGAGTGAAGCGTGGCGCGCGTGCTGCTGGTGGTGCTGCTGCTGGTGGTGGTGCTGGTGGTGCTGGTGGTGCTGCTGGTGCTGCTGCTGCTGGTGGTGGTGCTGGTGGTGCTGGTGGTGGTGGTGCTGCTGTTGGTGGTGCTGCTGGTGGTAGTGGTAGTGCTGGTGGTGGTGTTGGTGCTGGTGGTGGTGGTGCTGCTGGTGGTGGTGCTGCTGGTGGTGGTGGTAGTGCTGGTGGTGCTGCTGGTGGTGGTGGTGGTGCTGCTGGTGGTGGTGCTGCTGGTGGTGGTGGTGCTGCTGGTGCTGCTGGTGGTGGTGTTGGTGGTGGTGCTGCTGCTGATGGTGGTGGTGCTGGTGGTGCTGCTGGTGGTGGTGGTGCTGGTGGTGCTGCTGGTGCAGGTGGTGGTGGTGCTGGTGGTGCTGGTGGTGCAGGTGGTGGTGCAGGTGATGCTGCTGGTGGTGGTGGTGCTGCTGGTGGTGGTGCTGCTGCTGGTGGTCCCGCGACGCGTCGCTGTCGTCACGATTTACGTTTGCGCGCCGCTTTCGGCGCCTCTCGTTCCAGAGTCAACACCCCCGCCGCCACCGGGGGGGGGGGGGGGTTGGTTTTTTGCTTTCGCGGAAGCAACGAAGCCTCCTTGTCGGAGGACGACGTCCCCCCTCATCTCCCTCCGCCTCCTCCGCCTGCGACTTTACACCGGCGAAATGCCGCGACCCCCTCGCTCGCTCGGCTCCGCCGTGGTAATGAAAGACAGAGAGGAGAGAGGGCCGAGGGGCCGCTGAGCGCGCCACCGTTTTATTTTCACTGGCACAAAGACAAAGGTCCCCCGTATAGCCTTAGCGGACTTTCGAGACAAGTGCCGTTCGCGAGTCGCACCTGTGAAGGTCGGCGACAGCACGCGATGGTGGGTGGGGTGGCCAGCACCGCTCCGGACCGCCGTCGCCTCCCCAGTGACGATGCTTACGCGCCACCGCACCAGCTACTCATTTGACGCTGAGTCGACCTAGCGGGAGACCCAGGACCGGTTCAGATCATCGTCACCGTTGTTTGGGGGGGAGGGGGGCCGTGAGCGGGATTTGGACTCGGGTCGCCAGCACGCCCACGCGACCCCTTCCACTCCCTCGTGCACTCGGGGGGAGGTTTCACCGCCAGTTGTAGCAAATGAAGAGGGCGACTTTGTCAAGGGGCTGTTCCTATTTTTTAAGAATCTTTTTGCCCCTTAGAAATCGAGAGGCTCTAAATGTCATTCACAAATTTTGCACTATATATTGTTTGGTTCTTTCGGTAAAGTCTCGTAGATGGAAAATAATAAAATACAAATAATAAAAAAAAGAAATCATAAAAAAACAAAAACTCACGTTTCGATCGCAGCACAAGCGGTCGTCATAAGGTCTGATGACCGCTTGTTTTTATGATTATTATTTATATTGTTATTATTTATGTTATTACTTGTGTTATTATTTGTATTGTTATTATTTGTATTGTTATTTGTATTGTTATTATTTGTATTGTTATTTCTATTGTTATTATTTGTATTGTTATTTGTATTGTTATTATTTGTAATAATATTTTTATTATTATTATTTGCCATCTGTGACTTTACGGAAAGAACCAAAGAATATGAATTCCTGCAGTCACTAAAGTTTTAAGTAAATACAGTGAGGGGAAAAGTATTTGATCCCCTGCTGATTTTGTACGTTTGCCCACTGACAAAGAAATGATCGGTCTATAATTTTAATGGTAGGTTTATTTGAACAGTGAGAGACAAAATAACAACAACAAAATCCAGAAAAACGCATGTCAAAAATGTTATAAATTGATTTGCATTTTAATGAGGGAAATTAGTATTTGACCCCCCTGCAAAACATGACTTCGTACTTGGTGGCAAAAGCCTTGTTGGCAATCACAGAGGTCAGACGTTTCTTGCAGTTGGCCACCAGGTCTGCACACATCTCAGGAGGGATTTTGTCCCACTCCTCTTTGCAGATCTTCTCCAAGTCATTAAAGTTTCGAGGCTGACGTTTGGAAACTCGAACCTTCAGCTCCCTCCACAGATTTTCTATGGGATTAAGGTCTGGAGACTGGCTAGGCCACTCCAGGACCTTAATGTTCTTCTTCTTGAGCCACTCCTTTGTTGCCTTGGTCGTGTGTTTTGGGTCATTGTCATGCTGGAATAACCATCCACGACCCATTTTCAATGCCCTGGCTGAGGGAAGGAGGTTCTCACCCAAGATTTGACGGTACATGGCCCCGTCCATCGTCCCTTTGATGCGGTGAAGTTGTCCTGTCCCCGTAGCAGAAAAACACCCCCAAAGCATGTTTCCACCTCCACGTTTTAACGGTGGGGATGGTGTTCTTGGGGTCATAGGCAGCATTCCTTCTCCAAACACGGCGAGTTGAGTTGATGCCATAGAGCTCCATTTTGGTTTCATCTGACCACAACACTTTCACCCAGTTGTCCTCTGAATCATTCAGATGTTAATTGGCAAACTTCAGACGGGTCCCAGCTGCCTTGAGATCATTGACAAGATCCTCCCGTGTAGTTCTGGGCTGATTCCTCACCGTTCTCATGATCATTGCAACTCCACGAGGTGAGATCTTGCATGGAGCCCCAGGCCGAGGGAGATTGACAGTTCTTTTGTGTTTCTTCCATTTGCGAATAATCGCACTAACTGTTGTCACCTTCTCACCAAGCTGCTTGGCAATGGTCTTGTAGCCCATTCCAGCCTTGTGTAGGGCTACAATCTTGTCCCTGACATCCTGGGAGAGCTCTTTGGTCTTGGCCATGGTGGAGAGTTTGGAATCTGATTGATTGCTTCTGTGAACAGGTGTCTTTTATACAGGTAACGAGCTCAGATTAGTGTGCTCCTAATCTCAGCTCGTTACCTGTATAAAAGACACCTGGGAGCCAGAAATCTTTCTGATTGAGAGGGGGTCAAATACTTATTTCCCTCATTAAAATGCAAATCAATTCATAACATTTTGACATGCGTTTTTCTGGATTTTGTTGTTGTAATTCTGTCTCTCACTGTTCAAATAAACCTACCATTAAAATTATAGACTGATCATTTCTTTGTCAGTGGGCAAACGTACAAAATCAGCAGGGGATCAAATACTTTTTTCCCTCACTGTATGTATATATATACTTCCGCTGCCGCGTGCCGTCCCGGCCTTCAATGGGTTCTCGCTCACAGCACTTGCCCCACAGTTTGCTAAGGCTGTACGGGGATCTTTGTCTTTTCTCACCAACAGCACTTTGCTCGATCAGTGAAGGCTACACGGGGGCACCTTTGTGTGTGTGTGTGCGCGTGTTCGTATACAAAGTCATCCACAGCCATCAACCGACGTTGAATGATAAATGACCCAATAATGAAACGAGGCGGCGTGACTGACACAACCCATTTACTTCACAATGCAAGGCCGCGTTTCCGCGTGGACACAGTAAAAACACAATTCATACGGAATGTGACTACTGGACAGGTCATAAATACATGATGATCTCATTCGCGGCCGGTCACGATCAGCGATCCGGTTAAGCCCACTGCTGTGCCAGATTAGAGGGCATCAACGTGCACGGCGCATGGGAAAGGGTACACACGTTCGAGTGATCGGCCTACGAGGCCGATTATCACACGTTTGCAACAGGTTCTTGTTTAATAACCGAGTCGACCTCGGGGAGGCCCGGACACCCGCTTCACAACTGATCACGTGATATGGTCAGGACAAAAAAAAAAAGGTGTGCCGAGGTTCGCTGTGGCTGGGTGGAAGCCCGAGACGTGCGTCGGAGTGATTCCCAGCGAGCGCGGCACCGCTGCTTCGAGGTCGCTCTCTCCGCGTGCCGCGTGTCTACCGCGCAGCAGGGGCTGCGACGTGGCGTTGTGGGCAGGGAGCGTTTGGCGAGGCCGCGGCGGGTGGCATCCGCGGACTTTTTTTCCCCGTGGGCGCGCCACCACCTTGGGTCTTGGATGTGCGTTGTGAGAATCGCTCGGGTTCGCCGAGCGCGCCACCGACCGCTCCACCCGCTTACAACTTTCAACAGCCACCCGACACCGGGGTATTTTGGGTTCGAACGGGGGTCCGAGGTAGAGGGCCCACCACCGCAGTTGAAAAGTGGCAGGATATCCTAACAGATTGCAACTCCTCCGGCAAAGGGCCGACAGATTCCAAGGTAGGGTGCACGCTCACCTGCCCACAGGCCAAATTGCAGCACACACCTCGTTTCACAGCCCCGTGTCAGATGCGGTGAGCACAGCCACCACCCCATGCAAACAGCTACTAGACGACCGCAGATCAGCAAGCCATTTGAAACTAAATTACAAATAATTACCATCATTTCAAATGGACTTCCAATGTCGTCAATGGCTGGGTTGAGGCTACCATAATACAGTTGCTGTACACACACACACACACCTGTTGAACTCAGATGGCCATGTGGGACTTGAAAGACAAATGCCATAATTGCTCAGTTCTACACGGTCCGCATTAAAAGTAACATTTTCTGCCGTACGGAATACGCGTAGGGCAATGTTTTGCTCAATCAAATAATTTACTTCTCCGCCCTACTCGTTCTTTGCCGGCGCGAGTGTGCATGCCGGTGTCCACCCACACGATCCATCATTTATCTATCTAATCCATTAGGGTCGGCACACGCGGTCATTACCAAACGACAAGTTGTTGCACACGGCTTACCGCAAGCCGCCGTGCGCACAACTAAAGAGTACACTTGAGCATATTCACAACTTTTAAAGGCTTTGAAATTGTCAAAGCTGACGAGAGCAATGAAATGAGGCCGACGAGAGATATAAACAATATATCAAATATCTATTTTAAACGCAAACATCCGGGGCAGCAGAACTGAATCTTGCGAGCTAAATGATTGTTACCTGGAATTCCAAAGCCCTGAGTTCAAAGGCATTAGCTTCTCTATACAGTACGGCGTGGCCTTTTAACTTCCAGTAATACCGGCGCATGCACACACAAACACCCCTCCTATAGACTTCAACAGACTGTTGGGGCAAGTGCTGTTAGCGAGCATCTATGACAGCCAGCACGGCACACTAGGGGGTGGGTAGCCAGCACCACGCCCGGCCGAGTGGTGATCAGGTACTCATACGAGGCTAAGTCGACCGAGGAGAAGCCCAAGACTGGTTCAGATATTCGCAACTGTTATTGGCTTTGAGCAGAAATTAAATCGGGTCGCTGGGTTTGTAGCGCCGCGTGCTTACCGCTAAGCTGACACTTCCCGAACTTCAGTCATCCTCGCGGTGGCTTTTGGCTAGCCATTGAACAAAGACGGTCACTGTATCGCGCGTGTTCAGATGCCCCTACCTTGCAGCCGTTTGGAACGCTCTTCCTTCCGATATTAGGAAGTCACTGGAGCTATGCACTTTTAAATCATCTAGGCTGACAAACGCATATCTTTAGAACTGCTTTTTGTGTTTAGTTGTCCTTCCCCCGCACCTCCGATTCGCACGGTGTGGCTACGTGCGGTGCGAAAGAAGTTCAACATACGTACGTACATTTCCACATGCGTGCCCGCACGCACACACATGTACAAACGCAAACACATACACACGCACGACCTGAACATGCATGGCCACACAGCGGCTCCCAGCAGCCATCGCCTCGTCTCAGTAGCCCATTCCGGACGGGTGCAGCAGCTCCTGGATGACGAGGTGCATCAAGTGGTTCTGCTCTGTGCTCAGCAGAGGCCTGCAAGCACGGACCCACAGCACAACGAGCAGCCAGAGTGGGCGAAGGGCGACTGTGCTGATGCCAAGGTTAGGAAGCAGGATGCGTACAGATAAAGCAATTGAAATTAATTCCCACGCTCGTGGCGCGTGTAGACATTCGAGTGTGCAAGCGACAATCACGGCTTTTGCAGGTTATATGAATACGATACCTTTCGGCGAATCAATAATGAGAGGCAGAGGAACAAGATGGAACAACTGCGATAGAGAACCCAAATGTGGCAGTACAATCCGGGAGAGAAGTAATATTTTTTCAAATCACGCAATCAGATCTTAACCCCGATACGAGACAATTCATTGAACCGTGGGACAGATTGTAATCAGTAAGTGCCAAAGGTGATACCTATAAAATACTATAGAGGGATGATTCTTTTTCATTTCCATGGCCAGAAACAAGATGAAAGGATGTACATTTTTACCAAAAAATTGGAATTGTCACAGCAGTTACACAATGACCAATGTCCTCGCAAGCAGTAAATACCGAATGACGTTTTTGTTATCAATGCCTTTTCTTTTCCCGAGTTTTTTATTTAAAAAAACTATTCAACGTAACAAACCAAGATAAGTGGATATGCCACATTGCGTTGAGGGCAACGGTTACCCATTTTTTTGTTGGCAGGAGGGAATGCAAGGCCAGCAAGCGCCGAGAGAGACAGAGGACAGACAGAGACGGAGGGAACAGGGGAAGTGGACAAGGTGCAGGGCGTGGAGAGGGGTGGCAGAGACACTGCGAGGCCTCACCAGAGTTCCTTCTGCAAAACCTTCAGCGATTCGATGTCCTTCTCTTGGCATGACACCTGTAGTAGTAACACAGCAGCCCACACAACTGTTACTTTTCGCCTCCATACTCCTAGACCCTTTATCGATTTGGCCGGATATACTTGTGTTTAATTACTACACAGCGATGTTCATTACCAAGCGATAAGAACGGCTAGTGTGCAGGTACTCGGCGGATTATTACATTGCCGGGAGACACGAAAGACGGCTGCAGCTTTGGGAGACAATAATCCAGTAGTGGACTGATCATGGCTCGCGATGATGACGATTTTTCTTTAAGAAAGCCTGAAATATGTTTAAATAAAGCATCCGAAGAGGACATGCTCATTTAATAAAACGCCTACCACATACATAATTGGGAAACGGTGGTTGTGGTGAATGGGCTACGTGTATAGGATGGAGTAGGGCAGGTTACCAGGACAAGCAATGGAGTGGGTACCCAGGAGTCCGAAAACAAAAAGACCAAGAGCCACCGAGAATAAACCCTTTGCTAAAAGTCCACTCCACAACAACTCCAGGACCCAGCGGAAGGAAGCGATGGGGAGAGGGCAGTGGTGAAGTTCAAGACCTCTTGAACTTGACCCGTGGCACATGACGTTACATGTAGAGTCAATCTCAAGGTGAACTCAGCGTTTTCCGAGCTATGGGAAAAAAATGAAATGTTTGGAAAGTGCGAAACTTAAGTGACGGCACTTTGGTCACTGTCGCTACGCACGGTGACGATGTTATTCTAAAGCGGTGGTTCTGAGCCTTCACTGCAGCCTTGCACCCCTTTGATTCTCAATTATAAAAACATTTATGGTAATAAATACATAGCTTTAATGCAACAAAGTGGTTGTACTTACGTACCCGTGCTTAATTTGGCTTTTGATGATTTACCTTCTAGAAAAATCCGGCCATGCTTCGCGTTTCCTAGAAAGGGCATCTCGCATCCCCAGTAGGGTGCAGCGTGCGCCCCAGGTTAAGAAGAACCGCCGTTCTAAAGGGGAGCTATGGTCTCAGTCGGCAGTCGCAGGCACAGATGGGTAGCGCGCCGGTGAGCATAGCTTACCACGACGGACTGCAGCAGGAGAAATACTTCGTCGGTCAAGTAGTTCACTGCAGCCACAGAGACAAGCAGAGGGCATCCACTTTCTTGGAGGCAGCACAGATGCAGAGCGCTCCGTTTTTCCTTCATCGGAGTAATCGTGAGCGTCGTTATTTTTCGGTTGTATTTTTTATACCATTTGGAGGCTGGGACCCCATTTTGTAAGGGGAGGGGGGGGAGTCCTTGCGTGCAAGGTCGGCAGTTCGCCAGCAGTGACTCAAGCAAGTCCGAGTCTGCTGATGAGACGGTGTGTGTCGAAACCAGTGTTTTGCTTGTGCTGAACCAATGCTACTTTAAATTATGCACTGCCAGAAGGCCATGTGGCTGATGGGTTGTGAAACAAACACTTACATTTTTTACGTGTTGAGAGACGGAGATGTGTAGGAATCATTACTAATATATGTTGTACTTTTTGCGAAATCCCGACGTTTACCTACATAGGCTGTGACAGACAGCACACGATGACCCAGCCTCGCCAATTACGCCGCTGTCTGGAAAGGAAATCATCTCATCAATCAGTAGTGCTGAGCACAGCTCACCACCGCTGCTGTGTCCAGCTGCTCGCGGGAATCGAACCTCAAAGCCACGCGATGTTTTCACGTTTATCTTGCCCAACCAGGTGAGAACTCGAGTTGACACCGGTGCGGCACATGAACGGAGGACTGTGTGGGAGCACTGAGAGCATGAACATTCCCAAGCGTCTGCACGGAGCCGCCACCAGACAGACCCCTCTTCGCCAAGCTACTGGTGCAGCGCGAAGCTGACTTCCCATGGTAATAATAATATATAGTATATTCGCTCACTCTCGTAGGGAGAGAGGAACCACAGGCAACCAGGAAGGCAGCCATGCAATGAGCCTGCGTCAACAGTTGCCCAAGCTCTGCGGACCTCTACATATTAGGTTGTAATCGGCCAATTAATGAGTGTTTACATGTGGAAGGAAACCAGAGAACCCCGGACAAAAAAAACACCATTGCGAGGGAGAAACGCTCTATCCTATACAGATGAAGTTCACATTTTTGCTGTACTGCCTTCTCCTAGCAGGCAAATGTATGGCACCTCCTCGATGCCCAGACATTTATGCGATCCACCAATCCTCCTCACCTCCACAGTGACGGATTACAGGCGTGCGCCACCACCGCCCGGCTAACCACTGCAATGGAACTCATACGAAGTTTCATTACAGTGCAACCGATGGGATCGTTGCTCGTGTTCAGTTTTCCGTCCTTCCACCGCACCTCCGATTCGCACGGTTGGCTACGTGCCGTGCGAAAGAAGTTGAACATACACAGAGTACATACAAGACTGCACTTGTACGTACTGTATGTTCCCCACAAGTACGTGTGGCTAAAGCAGACTTGATTCCTTGCACAAGGTAACGATTTGGTGTTTGAACATCTTAACACCTGTTCTGTTATCAGAAAGGGTAAAACCTATTCTCATTTTTCATACTTTGATGCTGGCAACAAGGTCCTCACGACAAGACTGCACTGTTGACTAAAAGGAAGTTGGGGCGGGGATTTTATCGAGCGACGGGGGCACGGACGCTGGTGCAGGCTCACTCACCCTTGCTCTGCCCGGGGCTCTCGAAGGACTCCCACGCGTACCTCTCCAGCGTCTTGGCGTGCTCTATCGCGAGCCGCTGGGGCGGAGGCTGCAAAGCACCCCGTGGTGTCGTAACATGCAAACGCAAAGAACAAAGATCCCCACCTCCCCCCCACCCCCCGTATAGCCTGAACAGACTGTAGGGGCGAGTGTTGTTAGCGAGCAGCACCGATGAAGGCCGGCACGGCACGCGACTGGGGTGGGCGGCCAGCACCACGCCCGGCCGCATTTATCTCCTGAGTGGCGATCGTTTTACACACCGCACCAGGTACTCATTTGAGGCTGAGTCGACCTAGGGGAGACCCAGGACCGGTTCAGACAATAGTCACTCGGTGTTGACCGCGAGCGGGAATCGAACCCGGGTCAACGGGTTCGTAACACTAACCGCTACACTACCGCTCCCCAACACACACAAAAGCATCCTAGCCCTGTCCACCACAGCTGGATCAGCTCGTCTCAAGCTGAACACGCCCGACTGAAAGGCCACTGGATAGTTCAAGCAAACTTGACAATATTTGTAGTATTTTTGGCCTTGTTTGTCTTGCTCACATGCATTCCCTCCCTCTCTCTATATATTGTTACCCTCATTGGCCACTAAGTGGCAGTGATGTCACCACGGTGCTTGTGCCACAACCAGGTGCACTTTGAGGCCACGTGAAGCGTCGAAGGCTCTCTATCTACCCACAGAGACAAAGATCCCCCGTGGAGCCTCAACAGACTGTTGGGACAAGTGCTGTTAGCGAGCACCTCTCTATACACACGCGCACACACCCACCTGCAGTAGCATGAGCAGAAGCACCCGTGCCACTTCGCTGCGTGCGATGATGTCACTGAAGGCGCCTGCAAGAGCCGCGTGTCAAACCACCGCGCCGCTCGCCAGCGCGCGAAACCGCTCCGCCGCGCACGGACACCGAGACGCGTTCGTCAGTGTCGGCCGTGATCAATCCACCGCTGCACGAGGGCTTCCTTCAAAGTCGTCGACGCCCTCCACGGTCAGATTAGCGCCGGTTGGCTACGTGCGGCGCGAAAGAGGCTCAACATACGTCACGTGACGCAACGGTGAAAGCAGAGTCGCACGTGCCTGAGGCCTGCACTATCACCGGGGGCGGGGGGCTCGGGGGGGGCGGGGGAGCGGGGCGCGCAGAGATACGCGCCCCATAATTCACCACGCTGGTTAGTGCGGATCGTTACTGGAGATACTCCATAACCTGATCAATGAATGTTGTAAAATGTAAATTCAAGCAACGCCTCAAACAGAGCGCCGTGTGGCAAAAGAATGGGTGTTGTCCTGGTGGTGAAAGTTGATAACCTACAAAGCTCAGCGTCCAGGAAGTAGGGTTTAGTTCAGTTAACCTGATTGTGCTGCCATCTGTGGAAGGAAGATGCAATGATATTTACCGGATTGTAGGGCGTGCCAATGAAGCCAGTGGTGGATGACCAATAACACAGAAATGTGGACTATCCGGGTTTTCTAGCACGCGTCAAAATGCTTACGATTCATCCAGAAACCCAAAAATATATAACAAGCTTCACTCAGTCAGTCTGTCGGTTTAGTTCAGGTGAGGCTCACTGAGCTAAAATATCTCTTTTTCAATGACTGAGGCCAAAGCGGGCGAAAAGGAAACCGCTGATGAGATTCTAAAGGCAGCGAACAGATCAGAATTCTCCTGTTTCAACAACAAACGCTGCCAGTTAATGTTGATCTGGAAAGTGCATTGGCTGACTTCCCCCAATAATTGTATTGTGTGTGTAGAGTTTTAACAGAGAATTATTATTACTTTTATTGTTTTACCTTTCCCCCAAAGGTTAATCTCGACTGTACTCTCAGCAGCATGATACAAAGGGAATCCATTCGGAACTGTTTCAGAGCAGTGCCCGACTATGTTAGAGAACAGTTCTCAAAAGCAGATATCGCAGAACTATTTCCCAGATCCCTTAAAGCAGTGGTTCTTTAACCTTTTTACTGCAGCCCGCACCCATTGTACTTAACGTGCCCATGCTTAATTTGTGTTTTCGATTATTTACCTTCGCAAAAAATCTGGCCATGTCTCGCACCCCCAGAAAGGGCATCTCACACCCCCAGGGGCTGTGTGCACCCCAGGCTAAGAACCACTGCCTAAAGTGACCTCGCTGACACTAGGGGGCAGCACTTGCCCACCCACCATGCTAGAGTAATGTCATGCGAGTCAAGGTGGTATTTTTAATTCTCAAGGAACTGGAATATGGCCACGTCAAGTCCAATACCAAATTTAATGCGGTTTAATGATGGGCAGCTGTCTGGACTTGAACCCAGGATCTCAGCAGTGGCAGCTCGCTCAGCGCTCTGACCTCTGAACCTCACCCGGCCACCTCAGGTCTGTTTATTTTACTCATCAATCAGCGTGTCGCGGGCCAGTCAATCTTACCGATCGGCGCATTGGTGCCGGGAAAGCGGGGCGCTCTCTGCTCTGCCGTCAGCTGCATCTCGGTGAAAACATTCAACGCGCCCATGTAGTCGCCTGCACGCGCACAGGCACGCGCGGAAACACCCCGCGACACGCGAGCGCACACTCGTGCGGTTACAGAGGTGGAAGCCAAACGAAACGTGAAAACTTTAATAAAAGTGTGCACGCAGGTTACAACTCCGTTGCGCAGTGCGGGCTGGGCTTACGCGTTAGTAGTTTGCAGGAGGCGGCAAGCCCTAACGAGTGCAGGCTTTCTATGGGCATTTGGTACTGCAGCTCAGCCGCCCGCTGGAAAAACACCTCCGCTTCCCCTGGTCGCTCCAAGCCCTATGGAAAGCAAAACAACCAGACACTGCAGCTTCTGGGCATGGTAACTGCAAGACCACTCGCTTGGGTATTCGCAGCAGCGCTGTATGTACGTTGAACTTCTTTCGCGTCGTACGTAGCTAACCGTGCTAATCGGAGGTGCGGGGGAAGGACAACAAACTAAACACAAAAAGCAGTTCTAAAGAAATTCGTTTTCTAACTCGATGATTTAAAAGTGCATAGCTCCAGTGGCTCCCCAATATTGGAAGGAAGAGCGTTCTAGATGGCCGCAGAAGCACATCTGAAAGTGTGCAATGCGGTGACCGTCTTTGTTCGATGGTTAGAACTCTCAAATGAATTTTTGGCACGATGTTTGACGTTTTGCTCCACGTCCTGGCAACTTCTTCATGGAAATGGGTTTCACTCCCGGCACAGAACGAAAACATCGGGATGTCGTGCCAGAGAAAAAACACGCAGCATGCACTCAACACGCAGAGAACAGCTGTAACCGCAGTGTTAGCACGATATCTGCTTTTGCACCACTGTAACGCGTACAATGCCGGGTGTGACAAGTGAAGTGCATCTGATCGCCCACCTTAAGAGAATATCCAATCTCAAGGCAGAGGCTTGCAGCCAGAGCTGGCCGATTTATCTCTATGTACACCTGGGGGTGGATTTCAACACAAACACACACACGCACACACACGTCACTATGCAAGGAGGCAAGTGCGAGTATCGGTGTTCACAATACTGGCCAAATGTTAAACGTACAGAGCGCAAGCCATGCTTGCGCTCTATCCCCTCCCATCGACTCTCGTGAACAACTCTGCGCCGGTGGCACACTTTAACAACTGCGATGAAGGTCCTGCGGCGTGCCCAGGCTTGCCTTGACGGCATAGTTGTACGCGTTTATGGCTGCCTGAAGGTTCTCCTCCAGGCCCGGGCAGCGCAGCTCCCAGTTCTCCACCTCCGCCTTGAGGAACAACCTCGCCGCCTCGGTCAGCGCCTCAGCCTCCCCGAGACCGTTCATCACCGTCTGCTCGCATCTGCGTGCAGCGGAAGAACCGGGTGGCAGTGAGAACACATGGAGGCTGACGGCGACAGAGTGGTTGAGTGAGTGTGGGTAGGGTAGGTGAGCCCTGGTGTGGTGAACATGGCCACTTGGGAGACAAAGGGTGGTCGGGCGTGGTGCTGGCCACCCACCCGCTCGTGTAACGTGCCGGCCTTCATAGGTGCTCGCTAATAGCACTCACCCCTACAGTCTGTTCAGGCTATACGGGAGATATTTGTCTTTGTAGGTAGGCGACAGAGTGGTTGAGTGAGTGTGGGTAGGGTAGGTGATTAAGTTGTTGGGTGAGTAAGTGTGGGCATGTGGATGATTTGAGTGAGGGTTATTGGGTGGTTGGGTGGCTGAGTGAATGAGGGTAGGTGGGTGAATGAGAACCTAGGTGGGTGAGTGAGTCTGGTTGGCGTGTGCGTAAGTGGATCGGTTATTGCTTATAGATGACCACATGGAAGTTAAAACTATATGTCACTTGTGATTTATCCAGGCTTAAGTAAAGGAATGTTTTGCATGTTTAGTAATTTAACCTAGGCTATTGAAGGAATGACTGTTGATTCTGGTGCAGTGGGAGAAATGAAGCAATAATTTCCACATAGCACGGCATGAACTAGCCTTCACACTAGCCAACCTTCTTGAAATGCAGCCAGTTTCAGGATTGGTGACCTTCACCTGGCTTGGGCGAGGCTGCAGAATCCAGCGTACTGCAAACACTCTTGCTGCTTGAGCTCCCGGGAAAGATGTCCTGTTGTTTGGGATTTAGACACAAAATAAGTATGCTTTAAAATATAGGTTTTAAAGTGCTACTTAGGATTGCTTCAGGCAAGGGCTCCCCTCCCTATGTCCCATACAAGTGAAAGCACATGCCAAAAAATGCTGACTCTTTTAGCACACACTCTGGAGAAAGCCATTAATAGTGTCACATTTTTATACACTCTCCCCTGAGTTTGGGCAGCTGAATTCAGCCCATAATCAGGGTTCAATGAGTCACTCAAATATATGCTGTGCCCCATCTGCTCAGTTGGAAGGGCATTAATTAGGCTGGTATTCACAACAAAAGCTCCTGCTTGAAGGGGGTCTTGTTGATTGCACCAAAAGCTTGAGAAAGTGGAGCAAGCCATGTTCATCCTTGGAGAAAACGTGGGCTTCCGTGTAAAAAGGAACGATACATTTAATATGTATAACATGGCAGAGTATGCCAATCCATAATTATTATTTGTATTTCATCAAGTAATTGTTGTTGCCATTATTAAAAAAATGTACGCTCCATTACCAGCCACTTGACATTGACACGACTCGCATTTCTTTACTCCTGAAGTAACTGAATTCCCTTTGTGGTCACAATGTATTCTTTAGAGCACATTAGCACTCATTAACTAAAGGCAGATTCCTATTTGTCTTCACTCACTTCAAACTATTTTAATTACAATGCATTAGGGCACAATGGCTTTCTGCCTCCATATTAAAACAGTGCCGCAACTCTGCAGCTGTCAAAATGTATTATTAGGTTCACCAGCATGAACAAAACAACCCAAGGGGCCTGAGAGACGACCAGATGGGTCAAGATGCTGCTACTAAACGTAGCAGCATCTTGAGTGATTATTCACTTCTGTTACTTAAGGGCAGCTCCACAAATTAGGCAAACTTCGTCAAATAAAAAAATGCATCATAACGATATATGCAGGGCATCATTTTGAGAACAATTATCAACGTAAAAACAGGGCTCATTTATGAAATATAATGGACTGACAGATATGAAAGTGAAGTGGCACAATCACCATCCTAGTGTGGATGAAAAAGTCAGTACGTCCGAAAAGAGGACATTTTATGAGCAGAGCTCCCTTTATCAAGAAACGTGGCCAAATGTTACGTCTCTATGAATGACAATACTAATTGGTTGAGATCATGTGAACCTTACGGCGGGACCCCGGGGTCCCGAATAAACGGAAATAAAAATCGTAATTAACTACTTTTTGGCGACTCCGTCCCACCGCGCACATAAACGCCATGACCCGCCTGGCGCGGATCGTTCTGTTGTCGTCCAAGCACAGCAGCGAGGACGACAGTGCAGAAGAGCTGAACAAGCGAATGCACTCCATGCTCGGGTATGGGCAGGATCATAACAAGTCTTATCTCAAAGCTGCTCAAACTGCCTACACGACTTAAGTCCTTTATTTGTCATAACGGTATGCACAATAATACAGTGAAACTGCTCTCTTATCTTCATTATTATTTGTGACCTACCAATGTCTGCAGCCAGGATCAATCGATGACAATCCTATTATCTGCAGATATTTAACAGATGAGATGCGTTGCACCGTTAATTTCTCCTGTTTGATAATACTTCTCTTGTCCGTATGCATCTGTGCAGATAGATTTTTTTTTTGCGGTTAAGCCATAGTCCCCACATACTGCGCTCATATCAATGCGGATAAGAGGAGCGGCCATCCACTACTCTGTAGAGTAACATTGGTATAAACGCTTGTTCCAATATGAACAGCGCATTGAAAACGTGTACTATTTTATGTACTGTTTACAAAGTGTGTTCACAAATCCACATTGAGAAACACGATGATTGACAGTGTAAATAGTTTTTTTTTGGATAGTGTGTTTAAATAGAGGCACTGCAGGTAAGTACTTTTCAGTTTTAAAGGCATAGTTTAACAAGACAACACTTGGCACCATCCTTCAAACCCATTTGTGAACAAGAGCCAAGTTTATGTTTACGTTATAATGTTTGCGCGAGAGCCGGGGGCTTATGGAATCCCCGGGCTAGCGCCATAAGGTTCATATGTACAAATAAAAAGCCACTTCATGATTTATACCGGTTCAAGGTAATCATCTAACCCAGCTGAACGAATTGTACTCGGCGACCTCATATAACGCCATACAAGCATCGCTGTAGTCTCATACAAGACCAGCGCTCTGCTATTGTGGACATTCGTCTATGAGAGAATACGGTACTGTAACTCTACACTGCTGGGTTTCTGCCGTTGCAGGTTCCATCCATCTCCAAGGTCGCAAGCACTTGAAGCAACTCGGCTGCGTGTGGTGGGCTTCGCCGTGGGTACTCCCAAACGTCTTCCGAGACGTGGAAGAAGTCGGTCGAATACAACTCTAGAGCTTCCTCTAGTGGAGGTCCTTCCGCCGGCAGAGGGCAATTGCAGGGCCGCGCCTTTATAGGACACCAGCGTTTCGCTCAATGCGATTCAGGAGCAGCTATTACTCACCAAACTGCTCGCTTGCTTCCGCGACATTTGGCTTCCTTAGAAATCGCCTAGAGCACACGGACGAAATGCAAATGGAAAGTGGCAGATACACGCATAACCACGTCATGTGTTCACAAGAAATACAAGGTAACTGGTGGGGTTTTTTTAATTAAACAAATTAAACGACATGCACCGAGAGGGACGCGAAGTGATTGTGAATAATAATAATATTACCGAAGCATTGAAACATTACACACGAGCGGACGCCCGATACGGCGCCCGGAGAGGCCTACGGCTCACGCTCAAGATACTCTACCGGGCGGCCCTCTCCTCTGCCGGTAGGCAATCTAGTCCCACAAGGGGGGAGTCTGGGGGGGTGTGCGCAGTGGCTTCGCTCGACAATTTCCTCCCGCAGCACGCGGCGCCTTCCTCGCTCACCGCACGCCGCAGCGCCACTCACTTTCTCAGCTTGCTCGAGATCGCCCTGTACCTGCCCCAAAACTCCGCGTCGCCTTCCATCATGTTGACAAAGCCACAGATCGCCACGCCGCTCAATCGGCAACTGGGCGGGGGGGGGGGCGTTGCGCATGCGCAGATCGCTTCCGCGAGCTGCGGTTAAATGCGCGTAACCGGTTACCGGTTTTGTCGCCCCTATGTAGTTACGTTTTCAGTTTTTCAGTTGATTTATTTTGGTATAGCCCTGTGAGCCATTCGGCTCTTGAATCGGGTGCAACCACAACAAACAAAAAAACAAAAACACGAACAAGAAAAACGTCTTAAAGTGATTATGTGACTGTGCAAACAGAAAATCCATGAAAAAAACAGCAAAATATTCCTGAAAAAAAAGCACCGTACACCAACGCTGTGTGAAAAATATCCCAGTGGGATGCAAGTCAAACAACATCAGCCACAAGAAAACTTAGATTAAGGCCATCAGTCTAACTCCGTACTACAACAAAACAAACATGTCCAAACCAAAAAAACTTTTCGAAATCACCAAAAAATAAAACCATAATTGCAACGTAACAGTGATCACAGGGACTGTGACCGAATTTTTACATGCCGTGTCAACCCGTACGTACGGTTTATCCCGTAATCTTGTGGAGGGAAATTGAGTTTGCAGGTCCATACAGCGTACAGCCGTTTCAATACGGGCACACAATTTTTTTTTAATTTTGTCTATTTGTGTTTGTGTTTATCTCCTTGTGATGGGACTTTGTAGGATGAACCTTGAGATTTATAAGGGGCACGTGGTGTCCAGTCTGAATTTGTCTGTAATGATGTAGGCATTGATAATAGGTTACCAGGTATGCAATGAAATAAAAACAAACACGTCTCGTTGTCGTTGATAGCTCAGCCAAGTGGTTTAACCTGGTGAAGATGTCAGTGGCAGCGGTGTAAAGGTGATGCACTGCAGGTTCGTCCTCTCGCGGTTCGAGTCCGTGTCACGTCGTGGGAATGATAAAACAATGGGGTCAGATTATTTGGGTCTTTCGCTAAAGTCACGTAGATAGGTTTAAAGAAAATAACAAAAAAAAACACCACGTTTCGATCGCAACACAAGCGGTCGTGATCGAAACGTCGGAGGTTTTTTTTGTTATTTTTTGTTATTTTCTTCGAATCTATCTACGTGACTTTACGGAAAGACCCAACGAATATGAAGTCCTGCAGTCACGAAAGCTTTAAATCAACATTTAATGGGGTCAGATTTCTTAAAATCCCCTCCCTCCCCTTCCCCCGCACCCTGATGCCGTGACCCAGCAGTGCGGTCCAGACGGGGCCCTTCCACTCTAGGGTCGATCGGCAGGACTCTTGCTTGTCAAGAAAAATATAGAACACAGTTTTAGTGATTTGCTGACATCTGTGAAAAAAAGCTTTATGGCTCATAGGATTCCTCCAGAATGAATAAATATTCTGATTCTGGACAAACTATTTTTTTATGTATGCCAGGTAAGGCCCACTGAGCTATGCAATTCTTTTTCAGAAGCGACCTGGCCACAAATGATAGCTCAACGAAGTGGATTATCACGTAGAAATGCATAGCAGCAAAATACTAAATATAGAGGGAAAATCGGAGGTCCCGGAGAAAAATCCACGCGACCACGGGGAGAAAATGCAAACTCCAAATATACAATCGTCGTCAGGGTCGGGATCGAACCCACTCCCTCCTGCATACCCGGCGAGGTAGTTAACATCTCCTAGCCACCGTGGGGATGCCTATCTCTTCCAAGACGTACGGGACAGCGTGGAAGAGTAGGTCAAATACACTCGGGAGCTCACGAACTTTCACATTAAGCTGTGTTTCGTCAACGCCTCGCGTAGGGCCCAGGCAGTTCGCTGTTCTCTGGGCCCTTGATTCAGCCACCCGTCGCTCGCGCGCGTGACTCCCTCGATCGCAGTGGCTTCGCTGTCGCTTGCCCTTGCCTCGAGCCTCGCTTCAATGCGGAGTCTATCAAAGCTGCGACTGTAGGTGTCAGAAATAGACGGGGACACCTCTGGAGGATGCTTGCATGCCAGTTTAGAGTTTCCTCACGAAAAAAAGCAGGTTACGTTTCAAAGATGCAGCTGGCCATCCAAGCCCCGTGGTCTCCAGAGGTTTTTTGCTCAGCGAGTTTAAATAGACGGTGAACACGCATCCGCACCAAATGCGTTCTACGATTACGTACAGGTATTATTTAATTTCGCTGCGTATTATTTTATTTTAATTCTAACTACGTGACTTTACCGAAAGAACCAAAGAGTATGGATTCCTGCAGTCACGAAAGCTTCAAAGCAAGATTGTTCAGTGGCTTTGATATATTGTTTAGGGTCGAGTTAACGCGGCTAATCTAATGTTTTGAGGTGGAGAAGCTGTGACACGGCTGGGACTCATCGGAACGCGCCAAGGAAGGAGGGAAAGGCATCCAAAATGAGATGCGTTCACGAGCAGAAGATGAGTAGTAGCAGCACTGCACCGTAATAGATGGTGACGGGATGGAGAAGCCTTCATCCAGCAGTGGATATACCATGCCTACTGATGATGATGCATTACAAATGGCACCAACTTGAAACTCCAACACCAACCTGAAAGAAATAAAACTCGAACCCTCACTCGAATCTTAACCTTGACCCCCTCCCTCCTCCTCTTCCTCCTCCTCCTCTTCCTCCTCCTCTTCCTCCTACTCCTCTTCCTCCTCCTCTTCCTCCTCCGTAGTCGGTATCACACCTCCACTCACTCACTCTAGCGGTGCCGCATCACACGCACTGCTCCAATCGTCCCGACAAGGTGCTGAGTTACGCGACCCCCGTGTGGGCTAACGAGGGGGGGGGGGGAGGTGGGGAAAGGTAGCGGCGACATCCCCAATTAAGGACGGGCTTCTTCGCTCCGCGTCTGCGCGCAGCCGGGATTGAAGGAGGAACGCCAGAGCGCCGCGCAAAATAATCAGCTGACGCCAGCGAGGACGACCCCGAGTTCCGTGGGCGTCTGCCGCACGCGTGGGCAGCTCTGCTCCGTCGGCCGCAACGAGCTATTCCAGTGTGAAATCAATCGGTCCCAACTTGACCGTCCGAGGAGGAGAATGAACAGCAGCAGCAGCAGAGAGATGCCCACACATGCACGCATTTGGAAAAAAATAATAATAAAACTAAACATGCCTACTGAGAGTTCTGCAATGCGCTAAGAAAAGACACGCCGATGCGATTGGGCACTGCGAGTGTGCGCAGCCCCTCAATTCTATTTTTGCTGCGTTCATCAGCGAGAGGACGAATGATGCGCTTATGCTATGGGGTCTCCACACGCTACGCAGCTAATCGTTTTCATCGTGGCTTCGTCTGGGATTGAAGACCACAACGGCCATATATCGGGCGCCGATCGAGGATTCTTATGATCTCAACTCGGTCATCCGTGGGCCACGATTATTTCTAGGATGCGGATCGACCGTACTTGTGAAAAGCAAATGAATGTATTTGTCAGGTTCATTATCTTTCAGCTGCTCCTCACTCATAAAGGGGTCAGTGCCTCAGTGTACACGTGGCCCGCAAACTTGCCGGCAAGTAAACATAATTACTTTGAGAAGGAATAAAGACAGACGTGGCATTCGACCTCTGCAATTCCCCCATAGGTAACAACCAAATAACCATGTTGTTTTTTAGTGCCTAAGCTCAAAGTGGTTGGCTCTGTGTTTTTGCTTTGTCTGCCCCCCGCACACGCATTACCACGGACAGTAGAGAGTTGATTGCAACTTTAAAACATGCGTTCGGTCATGCGACCTGTGGACGCATGACCGAACGTGAGATAACATGCATTGTCTACAATGATTGACATTCAAGGATGGAGAAAAACTCGTGAAATATGTTCATGTATTTGAACAAAACAACAACTTGGCTTTGGCAAAACTGAAAGTGTTGATTTAGATAAGGTCACAGTGAGTGAATTAAAGGACTGAGAGTAAGATCTCGTGATATTACCGACGGAAAATTGCGTAAGCTCCATTGAAGGCTCATTGACTCCTGCAGTAGCGGTTTGAACTGCATGCCTTATATCAGAGGGCATGCAGGCTTATTCTGACCACCGCAAAGTCAAGCCTATATTTTTGCCATTCTGACCGTAGCAAGACATTGACCCGAACTCTCAATATTCGTGTGTTTGCACGACGAATTCTCTATATGCGCCCCACGGTGGCGAGATGTGAACTACCTCGCCCAGTATACAGGAGGTCGCGGGTTCTCTCCTGACCCTGACGTCCGTAAATTTGGAGTTTGCACGTTCTCCCCGTGGATTTTTCTCCGGGTCATCCCGGTTTCCCCCCCCCCCCCCTCCGCATTTAGAATGAACGTGCGTTTCGAGTGTTTGGCCGCCACACATTTCCACGCGACGAGCCCACTTCGTTGAGCTATCAATGGCGATGGCCGGGTCGCTTCTGAAAAAGAACTGCAGTAGCTCAGCGAGGCCTTTTACCTGGTCGTAAAAAACAACACGTGTCTGCGTGTGCGGCATGGAGCGCGCGGCATCGCAAAGCCGGCGTGCAAATGCGCGAAGAGTGTCCCCGCTTTGCCGTGACCTTGCTGCGCGCGCCGCGCAAAGCTTTCCGCGAAGCGCCCTTCCCGCGGGGGGCTCTCCCCCCCCCCACCCACCCACCTCCGAGACACCGCCAGACTTGGGAGGTGATGACGAGAGGCTTCTGCGTCCGTCTTCCACCGTCCGTTTATTGTCGTGGCCACAATCGTTGCTGTAGATATTTTAAACCATCGTTTTTTTATTTTAGTTTTGGGGGTGGGGTGGTAAATACCGGTAGCTGGGTTTTTCGCCAGCTTTTTTGTTAATGGGCTTTAGCACCACGCCCCATTGAACACGAGACAGAGTTACATTTTAAACGAAAGAAGGATGTTCAACATTTAACGGACAGACAAGACGAGTGGCGTAAATTTATTACGGATAACACCAGGGTACCGAAAGAATATGCATCAGATTACTTAGATACAGGCAAAGTTATATTTCTTGGACATATAGTTATAAAACAAAAGACTGAATATCAATGTGTTTTCATTGGGAAAGTATAGGTGCATTAGCATAGGAATCCGTCGAAGATAGCGAATTAAAAGCAATGTGAACAATTGGATGCAGCTGGGAGGAGTTC